CAGAGGCAGGAAAAGGAGAGCAGAGTGGTTTTCGAAGGTCGCGTCGGACGACGCCGTTCCTACGAGAAAATCACACGCTCAGTTGTAAGCTACGTGTTCGCGAGATTTTTCGAGACTTTTCAAGCAAAAGTCTCCTCAGCACGACCGGCGAGACATCGACTACTCGCTACGCGTCGTAATTCTCGCGCGCGCGTGGGTAATTGTTTCAAATTTATTCTTACACGTGTGAACGTGTCGCGTTACAAGGTTTCGCGGAGGAGACCGATCGATCGATCGATCTTGCGCCTCTGGGCGAATATCTGGAGCGAAATGTTGCGATTTCGAATTCGCGTCACTCGCGCGGTCATTCATTTTACACGGCGGACTCTTGTCGCTCGCATCACTGGCATACGTGAATTTTTCCTCGTGCTGGTCGTTCCGCAGGTGGCGACGTCGCATTTTCGGAAAACGGCACGATCGCGACAGACGATAATAATACTTTTCGATTAGTCCCGCGCGGCTTTGTCGCACGAATGCGGCGTCGTTCTGCAGCATGCATTAAACATTCTTGACGCCGATAGAGTGGCGATGCTCGTGCGTCCGCGAAAAAAAAGAGAAAAAGAATCCAGTTGAACCGTTGAACCGATCGGCATATCATTTGAAAGGAAAATCACCGCCGTAGTTCCGCCGGGGTGTAGTAAATATGCAAATGCCGTTGGCGCGCGCGAAATCTACTCGCTGTAAACCGGAGAACGAGTGGTCGATCCTCTGATCGCGCCAGCTCTCGCTAATGTACGCCCGCGTTTTGTAATATTTTCAGTCGGCGGGCGACCGGCCTCCTCTCTCGTTCTGACCCGACGGAGTCTGACGGGGTCGTTGTCGTGCATCGTCGTCGCGAACCTCGGGATCCTCTCCCGGCTTTGAATCGGTCAATTAAATCTTTCGTCACGCCGCGCGTTCGCGAGATCATTCGCGGATTCATTTCGGTGGAGCGCTGGACCACGTATACGGGCTTTCGCACACACGGAGAGAATGTTATAGTAAAAATTGCTAAAGGCACTAAACATTACTTTGAGGAGTAGATCGACATTCTGGAATAATTCACTATCCTTTCGTTTCATGCTATTTATATATTTTACATTGAAATGTGTCATTAAAACACTTGCATGTTTCTGGCGAAATTTATTATCCCTTAGCAAGATAGACCTTATTGATAGTCTGTTTTTCTGGACTGCTAAAAACATAATAGAAATGAAAATAATTTATATGAAACGAAACTATAATATTCTCCCCGTGTGTGCACTTGAATTACCGCAACCGTAGGCAAAATAATAATGTTTTTTAACCAATTAGGGCTGAACTAATCCATCAATAATTAGGATTCAAATATGATGGCGTTGTCCTGATATAACACCACATATTACAAGTATTCGCCAGTGCTGGAGAACGCAGACATCGTTTTTTACTGGGGCAGACCCGTGCTTATCGATAGAATAACTCGTCAAACCGTCCGACATTATCCTTGCAGATAAAATAGCAAAAATAGCCACAATTATTGATATTGCGGTTGCTGTAATACACAACATCAAGCTGACAGAATCCGAAAATTACTCAAGTATGAGGAATTCACTATGCAAATAAAAAGTGGGAGTTGGATAAGGTCAGCATATATTCCATTATCATCTTGGCAGGAGTTATCTAGAAAAACACCCACACAATTAAGACCGTGGCAAAAAACTTGCCATAGCCAACAACATTTTGGAGGTGAGCCAAAAAGTAATCCTGCTTCAAACTTGTCATATTGCTCACAAGTTCCTCAATTAACCAGTATTATTGACATCCAGCAGGCCAGAGTGAATTCCCTTTTTACGTCGATCTAATCCCAGAAAAACATCTAAAGGATAGGTGAAAATTTCCCAGCAACAATGTCGATAGATCTACACTGAGAAAAAATGTTCAATATTTGTAACTATATAATCTCATAGAGAAATAATTACTATAAATTATGGTTAATAATTTTTTTTATTAAATTCTACTATAATGTTAGTGATAATAATCTCGCATGTATATTATTACCATTTTCGTGTCGGAACAATCAAAAAATACGAGTGGAGCCATAAATAATTTTAGTTAGATTAACCATTTTTTTTTCTCTCAGTGTCATCCTATGCAAAAATAACTATAGAACTCATCTATTTAAAATTCTAGTTATTCAGTCTGAATGCTACTTATACGGTTACTTCAATTTTTTAGCCAGAAAACAATATCCCGATTGGTTTCTTAGCTTAAGTTTACGTTCACGAAATTAAGAGAAAGATAAGATTTGTAAGAGCTGTGTGTCGGATGTAAGCGAATAGGACTGAATGGGACAATAATGTTTAACAGTGTTAGACGTCCGTGCCGAATATTTTTTCCGACTTTCAATGTACGGATGATCCACTTTCCACGTCAAACTGATCTTGAATTTCATTATTAAATTAATTTTATTTAATAATTTTATTATTAAATTAACTTTCCATTTTATTTATCACCATTCATGCACTTTATAATGTTGCGAAAAAACCATAGAAGAAGGAGGACGTACTAAGTGGCCTGCGTTTCTTTTTGTTCCAGAGAGAGAAAAATATCAAAAGCGCGATTTGCTAGGCCGGAATTCGAACCCGGGTCTTTCGTTTGCCGAGCGACTGCTCTAAAACCACTGAGTTACCTGACGTTTCACGCTCACGACACTCTCCTCTCCCCAGATAACGTTCAGAGATGCCGTTCGGGAGCGAAAAATGACACTTCTTACAGTAGTACGGTTTTTGTAGGGACCTTATCTTTCTCTCAATTTGGCATACACTTTCAAAATTTTTGAGATATACATAGTTTATTTCTTTGGTACGCTTACGGCAAAAGCGTTTTCTATACTTCGGTCCAAAACAAACAACATATGAGCATTTCGGTTGCAAGGAATGTTGTCAGTGGCTGAATTGCTACGATGTCTCGCCCGATATCCTGCCTGAAGCAGTATTTTTCACAATATCATAAAATGTACAATTAAGTTGGGATAAATGAAAGAGGGAGCGACATTAAATAATAAATAGAATTCAGAATCGATTTGACGTGGAAAGGTGAATTCTCACTGCATATATCGAAAATCCCAAGAATATTTAACGCGTGCATCTCTAACACCGATATCTAGTTATTCTAGTTATTCTTCCATTCTTTATCCTTATCTTTCACTTAATTTGATATATATCTTCAGAGTCTTTGGCATACAGTTTGGTTCCTATGCTCACAGTTATGGTAGTTCACGTGCAAAAGCCTCTCTAACGCGTCGTCGTCCTCGGTGCTCGATCGAGCTTCTCTCTCTCTCTCCTCTCTCTTCTCTTTCTCTTCTCTCTCCTCTCTCCTCTCCCTCTCTCCTCTCTCTCTCTCTCTCCTCTCTCTCTCTCTCTCCTCTCTCTTCTCTTTCTCTTCTCTCTCTCTTCTCTCTCTCTCTCCCTCTTTCTCTCGCGCGGGGCACATACGTACGCCGCGTTGCTGTCTTTGAGCGTCAAGAATAGATTTAGGAAGCGACGAGCTATGCGACGGGCCGCTGCCAAGTCGACTCGCACATGAATGAGTAACTTGTATGTGCGTACACGTGCTGTGCTAATTTATAGCGCCGCGACGACGCGGAGGACGGAGTTAAAGGGATTTCGGAGAGGGGGATGAATTCTGGTCCTCCGTAGCCCGGTAGCGAGACATTGCGGCCACTCGCGAATTTATTATCATCATACATTTGCCGCGCAGATCGGCTTTTCGGAGATTTGCGACGTAGGGCGAGAATATTCTCAAACATGCGTTATGGACCTCGTGAATTACGTTCTGCTGCGAATCCGTCGCGCGATTTCCGCAGGGATCGATTCATCGATTATTCGGAGAGCGCCGAGACGTTCGGGTGAATCGCGTTGTTTCTCAAGTACAAAGGATCACCTTCGAACGGAACTAATATCCGCGCGAACTTAATCGTGCGAATTGTCTAAGTAATTTCCAATGGCGACGGTAGGACATTCCGCTTGTAGAGCGAGTACCTTCGCCGCAAAGGGATTGTCTTGTTCGAAGCCATCGCCACTGCAGAGGGTGTCTGCTAATCTTAGGCGAAAGCACAGTCATTCAGGCTCGAGCGTAGAATAGAATGGATCGGGGAAGGAAGGGAGAAAGAGAGAGAGGGGCTTTGTCGTCTGCATCGCGGAACGCCAGGAATCGCAGTGCCTCCGTGAATGCGCCTGTGTCCAGAATGAAACCTTCGAGTTGGTGCAACGGAGCCGCCGCGGTAAAATCTTGGCTCCCGTGGCGCCGTTCTTTCTCTCTCCTCCACTCTCCGAGAAAAGAACACTTCGGGCAACAACAATCGGATAACTTACATCTGAACTGTCTCAAGTCCGCGTTGAAAAAGCAGCTCACTTTCAAATAAACAATAACAGCGTGAACAAACGTTGACGACTAAAAACAATCGTCGTGCTGAAATTTAACAAAAGTTATATGGAAGTGGTTTATTTAAACCAATTATATATACGAAATTGTATAAGAAAGATCAGGGATCACTCCTTCCCTGTGTGTGTGCAGCAACCAGCTTGCGGTAATTACCTCGTTCTCACTTTGTCAGGACGTAATCTTTCTTCTCTTGGTCATGACGGCTGGGCAGCCGCTAATTTCCGAGAGAATGGAGAAGTCGTAGCAAGAAGGCAGGCACGTGCTTCAGAGAATTTCGGGCTTCTCTGCAAGCCGCTCCTCAAGGAGAAATGGGACCTGAATTGTAGTTGCAGTTCCCTTTGCAGCTTTGCCCGGGGAGAATAGCTCTTACAAAGTGAAGCGTGACACGTGGCAATGTGCAAATGGACAAATTAAAATTGTTCTAAAGTTTATTTCTTTCAAGTCACAAGTGTAAAGGCGATTTTCATGAAATACTGTTAAGAGAACTCGACGAACTGGCGAGAGACGCTTCGGTTATGGTGTTCGATGGGCCGTGTCAAATAATTGTGACTATGTTGCAGAAGAAGATCCATTGGAGATCAGTCAAGCGATCGCTTCCAGGGGGACTGCTGTGATTTCCTCGCGAGTCATACCAGCTTCTACCGGCACGAACTCCTTGTCTGCTCTTCATTCAACGTCTCATCACTACCTCCAACATCAACAACATTCGCAGCAGCAGCAGCAGCAACAACAACAACAACAACACCAGCAGCAGCAGCAGCAGCAACAGCAACAACATCACCACCACCACCACCAGAGCGATCATCACGGCACACACAATCAGTACATGGAAAATCATAATCCGAATCAGTCGCAACAAAACGCGGGTAACCTCGTCGTCGACGTAGAAACCAGCCACGACAATAAAAAACATCGGACCGGGTAAAAGTCTATTCTTTCTCTGATTTCTCATTCTCTCGCGCCGGGCCTCCAGTCACATTTTCTTACTCTAAAATTTCCAACAAGGATTCACTAGCAAATACCGGCCCGTTAAACGGCTCCGACATACGGCATTGCGACTTAAAATCCTATTAAAGTAGAAAATCGTCCGAGATTACACCAAGTTGTACGTTTTATTCCTCGCTTCGTTATCTCGTGGCTTCATGTCACACCTTATCGGCGTGTTATGCTTGAATCTGCCCGAAATACGTAATATAATGCCTATCTGAATCGACACATACGCATCGGCACTAACACACTTCGCCGCGAGTCGATATGTCAGCCTGTTGCTTCGCACGCTCTCGCTTCATCTTCTCTCCCTTCCTCTCTCTCTCTCTGCCTCTCCTCGCCTCCTCGCCTCCTCTCTTTTCTTCTCCGTGCACGAGCAAACGTGCGACGCGCCGTCGCCGACGCTATAAGTTACTATACCTATTTACGCCGTGCACGTGTCCAGGGTGAATGGCACGTGCACGATGCATCACTCGGCGCGTTGCGTTGTGCGGCGATAACGCGTGGCGGTCACGCTATTACATGATCGCGCCCGTAACGTACCAGCGAATTCCTCTTGTCGTGAGCGACGTACCTCGCGATATCTCGCGGCGAAAAATTCGAGAATTGTTCTTCCTTTCCTTTTAATCCGACCGCCGCTCTTTGTGCCGTGCATGTCGTTGTTGAAAGAGTCGAAGTCGCGAAGATTTGCGGGAAACCGCACGCCCGTTTATCTCTTCTCGTGTATCTCTCCTCATAATTCATCTCTTCTCGTACAGACCCTGCGTAATCCGATCCGGCACGAGGGAAGTACACAACAAACTGGAAAAGAATCGTAGAGCACACCTCAAAGAATGCTTCGAGCTCTTGAAAAAGATGCTACCGCAGCAAGATGAGAAGAAGTCTTCGAATCTCTCCATCCTTCATGCGGCGAACCAATATATACAGGTTTGTTGTCTCACACAAACGTGCGCTTTTACATTGTACGATAAATGATCCGGAGACCTATTTCGCAACTCGGATAAGGCTTTTTATCACATTAGATGTCTTCACCTCCGAGCGACTAGACTGGAATAATGGCCAATCGCGTTGTGATCGTCTCGCCGGGGTAATTCTGCAGGAATATTGCTCTCTTTCGAATACCCGGATTTTCCATTCCGATTCTACGTGATTTTCTTCGCGACGTCGCGCCGCGATCGATAGATACACAAGACTCGCCGCCACCATGCGCATATAAAGTGCACGCTCGCCGCTTCATTGTAAATTCTTACACTCATTGTCGATTTATAGCTGCGTACGTGTCGTATGTAGTCGAGGGTGAGCGAAATTCCACGCGGCGACCGAATGCGTATTGCGTCGCGATTAAATTTATATTCGCGCGGGATCTCCACACTTTCATCCACACGGTCGATGCACTCTCGCGCGAATACGGCTCAATCGTCGACGGCAGCAACGTGGTTACTTGAAAATTTCACTATTAACCCGATTCTCGCGCTCGGCTTTATATAAAAATATACAAATGTTTGTTTTGATACCTTGTATCTTCGTAATCGATTAAAATGAATCTCGTGTTTGCACTGTCGGTTCTCTTCATTACGTAAAGTTATGGGAAAAAATGAGATTTATAGACAGAGATTGAGTTTCAGAAAACTTAAGCCATAAAAGATTTATCGAATTTCTTTTTCGTTGACTCGATATGGATCCGGCTCAAGGATAAATCTAGCTTCGCGACACGTGCACCGATTTCGCGCGAGTGCGACAAGAACTCGCGCAAATTCTCGTGTACTGGGTATCACTTATTCTGCGTCCCCGCGAAGGTCGACCTCCTCCTCCTCTTTTCTTTCGCGATTTCGTCTCCCACCGACGGTGCGAACTTGTTCTCTCACTTATATCTATATTGCTGCCATTTTTTTTTAATTTTCTTCATTTTTTTGAATTTCACGACACGCTTGCTTCGCGTTTCTTTGCCTTTCACTCTCTTTTTCCTACATATTCATCTAGATTTCCATATATCGTACTAATATTTGAAATAGCTCTATTAGCATTATCTTATAATTATCCATTCTCTAGAAACATATTCTGCAGTTTGAATAATTAAAAGATTTATAAAGTAGGTAAAACAAAAATCTCTCTAATACGAATTAACGACTTGCACTTTGCTTGTGCATACGTTGTGCTTCTGTACGAGAAGCCTCTCTCTCGTCTTTCTTCTCTTCTTTTTAGTCCCACCTCCCTCTCTGTATTATCATCCCCTCTTTCCTCTAATACAACCCCCGCCAATTTCTCCCACTCTTCATTTTCCTTCTCCTCTTCCCCGCCTCTCCGTGTATATCGTACCATCTCGAGGCATGTTCGTGCGCGTAGCATTTTTCTGCGGGAGAGCATTACCTATATCGACTCCACGTGACTGCGCGGCCATCGGTGTCACGCCACATGGCACGTACATACATGTAGCACATGCTGCTGTATGGACTTTTATCGCCCGACGCCGGTGTTGCCGGCGGCTGTTACGAACTCTCTCCTCCCTCTCAGACGCCAAAAGCGGCGGCCGCCGCGCACAAATTGTTTACAGAACATACAGAGCAATCTGTTACTGGCGACGGAGAAGGAGGGGATAGTTTTATATACAAAAATGAACTGGTAATAAAACGTGGAATGTTCAGGAGAAAGGTCTGCAAAGCATTTTCTTTTTACACTCCGTAGGCACTGACGAAAAAGGATCTAGATTATCAACGAGAGTTGCAGAGGCTTGCGGAAGAGAAAATCGCCGCGGATCAGAGATTGGACTTGTTAAAGCAGGAGGTCGTTGCGACTTGGGAAAACGTTGATTTCGCTCAAATCGAAACTCTTCTCGCGAGAACCACTCCAGGAACAGACATCATGGTCGTTAGAAATAGTAAGGCATCTCTAACATACGGAATTAAGAATAAGCTCTCACTTACTGAAAATCTGAAAGCGTTTAGAGAAATATTCATGGCTTTACGTTAGTTTCAGAAACATCAGCGGATGTCGAAATTACTGGACTGCCTCAGGGTGGCACGAGGTATAGCAGCACAAGCAGCCTGAACAGCATTACAGCTAGTCCTCCACAAGCGCTGCACTCCCCCAGCGCAACTTCCAACATCCACAATCAAGCTGCGACCGCGAGCATCGTTTGTCAAACGCAAGATTTGAATCTTGCACGAGGCTCCAGGGAAAGTCCACCAGTCAGTTCGACCCCCGTATCATCCACGCCCAGTATTCCCACCCCGACGCAGGTATGCATTCTCTATTCTCGTCTCGCTTCGTGGACGAACGATGAGCGAATTATATCAGCACCGCATCCAAGGCCGGATCGTGGATATCACGATTTTGCAATAAACCGGTGCCAGAATAAAACATCGCGCATTTGCAGAGCCGGTTACAGAGACTGGTACTGGAAGCGGCTTTGAAAATGCGCGACACGCTTTTAAGACCTTAGTATCACACAATTTCTTTCGCTGAAAACGCACGCATTTAGAATCAGTGTTGGTATGTGTGGACATCGACCTGTATATCTTCTCTCTCTTTCTCTCTTCCTCCCCCCACTCTCTCCTCCTCTTTTAACTTTTACTAGAATATTACAAGCGCATAGAATGTAGTATATCATATTTTGCAGATATATATATATATATATATATATATATATATATATATATATATACACATATACATACATACACATATATACAGGGTGTCTGACTCGTACCGTACCAGAGTTAATATATTATAGCTAGAATAGGTCAGGATGAATAATCGGTGTCTTTTTTTAAACAACTACGTAAAATTTTGAAATATTAACGATAAAAGATTTCTACCAAGCGGCAGCCCACTGGCCAATCAGCTGCGGTGAGATGAATCCTTTATTCGTTCTCGTATAAGCATGAAAGGCTAGCCTGCCATATCCATGCTACAGCATGTGCAGCGTTCGTTCACTATGCGTGTTGATTGGCCAGTGGATTGCCGCTCGGTAAAAATCTTTTATCGTTAATATCTAAAAATTTTGGTTATTTATAAAAAAGATACTGATTCTATTACTCACTCCGACCTATTCTAGCTATATATAGCTTTGGTGTGGTATGAATCAGACACACTGTATACACACATATACACACGTACATATATATTACATCAATACATATTTGAAATGTACGTGTCGCAATATCCTTCATTTCTAGAAGCCAAAACAAACAAATCAAATTAATTATACAGATATTAACTTTATTATCGCTTAGGTTTTGAAAAAAAAGAAAAATAAGACGAAGTCTCTGCTCGATAGCATACTGTATTCCTATACAATACACGTCGCGAGAATCAATTTTGAAAAAAGACGAGCTGTCAACAGTGACAATGATAATTTCGAGACTTTGGAATTTTAATTTATCACGCTTTTTTATGAATAGATCTGTGGCTTTTCCCATTAATCATGTTGTTAGTGCGTACGTGTGTATTTTTATTATATGGTTACAGGCAGTGGTATTTTTGTTTCAGGAGAAAGTCGCGACGTCGCCAACCGCTAATATAGTACAACAATCACATCAGTTGCATCTGCCAATCAGCGCACAGATGCTAAATACAAACCAAAGCCTTGCAACAATCGTGCCGACGCTGCAACACATCGGGCCGGGTCTTAGAGTGATACCTGGTGATACGAGGCAACTCCTCGTCACTCATACCGGTAACAACGAATCTAGGCCGTTGACGTTGGCAGTGCAAAACTCGTCAGATCAATCCAGGCCGTTGATTGCTGTACAATCCAACGCTGGGAGCGAACCGAGACCAGTGGCGCTAGTCGTTCACTCCTCCACCGCTAGCGACAACCGAGTGACATTTGTACATTCTAACAACGACCGGCCACTGGCCTTGGCTGTACAGTCATCTGCCAGTGATGTTCGACCTGTCACTTTTGTGCACTCAGGAAACGAAGCGCGACCGCTGGTTCTAACTGCTCATTCCCCCGCGCTGAATGTATCGAGTGAGTGCATGTTTTTGTATAATAGATCGCATTCAATAGGCAACTTCAACTTCAATAGACAACTTCAAGATAGACAACTGGATCTTATAAGAAATGAGAAATGTGCGTACGTTGTAAAGCCCTTCCAGCTTTGTCATTCATTTAGATTTTTCGCGAGGCTCGCGAATGTGTGAAACAATTGTCCAATATTTTGAAATAAAAATGTTGCGCTGTTGCAGATGCCCAAACGAGAATCAGGGCCGGTGACGCACAGACCACGCATAAGATGGTTGGTGGCGTGACGCTGGTCGGAGGTAACGGTTCCGAACTGGCAAGACTTCCTGGTGGTGCGGAGTTGAATATACTCCCGGCAAATGGTGAGTGCTATTTCCATTGCGGAATATTCGCTTCGTTATCACGAGCGTTATTCCACTCGTGGAAGTGTTGCACCAACAAAACTAACAGATACGTTCGTTTCACGATTACAGGACTGACGTTAAGTCACGCAGGTGTGTCGCTGCAAACCGCAGCAGCAAAACCAGGATCAACAGTGATGCAAAACGTTCCATCTACCGAGAGTATAGCGCACATTGTCGGTCAACATACGCCACTTTCTGGTTTGACGCCAATTGTCACGCCAATGACGGTTGTTTCCCAAGGTAATCAGGTGACCGCTCACATCCTAGCACCATCCAGTCTCGCGGGAAAAATGATCACCACGCCGCTCCTCAAGACTGTGGGTCAGATGCCGCTGGTGAATGCTCAGTACCTTAACACCACCACATTAGTCAAACCAGTTGTTGTGGTGAGTTCGCCTTCAACGTCCACTCCGCCAGTCTCCACCACTGCTTCCTCCAGTACGCAACCCCCTTCGACCTCGCACTCGACTGTCTGACAGAATCACGGGAAAGCGAAATTAACCTGATCGCGCTGGAATATCAAAATGTGGTTTGCTGCAGTTGCTCGTAGTATCTCTATGTTCAACCGAAGTAAATCTACGTTCTGTCGTTTTTTCATTAATTAGACGAGTTGCTTAGTGGGAGTGGATTAGTGACGAATTAGCGAGGCAAACTTACGATAGGTAATCAAAATTGCGCCTTACACGCAACAAAGAACCTTACGCGATGAAACCTTTGTCCATCGTGCTATTTCTAACATTGTTGGGATTTTACATTTTGAAACTTCCATTTGTGTCCCGCGAGGACCGAATTCGAAGTTTAAGCTCTTTTGGAGAGTGAATTTGACTGAGAATATATATGAGAAAGACCTTGCTCAACTTGTACGACCGTACAATGGTATTGTCTGATTTTATTAGAAGAAAAGATGCTAATTACGGAAATTAAATGTAAAATTTTAACAGCTAATTTATGAAGGCAGCCCGAAGGTGTCGCAAAAGAGAAAGTTCATGTAGCAGTGCGTAATGAGAAATCGATGCTTTTAACACGTTACAATAGCACGTTTGACGAAGCCAGAACTTTAACTTGTACAATAAAGTTTGTCCGATGATTATGAAAATTAAGTATTGCAGCTATGCGCAATAATAATTATATTTCGGTATGGTAAATCATTTTTTTCTGATAATGTATGCTATTCTATCATTTTGTTATATTCATCATTGCGAGCTTTATTCTCCGTAAAGTACTCTGACAAATATCTTTTAGTGAGTGTTTGATGTTCTTTCGAGAACGGTACGCACTTTTCCTTACAGACAAAAAGAGAGAGAGATCGCTTTAATGAGATAGATTGAATAGATATTCCTTTTCGTATAACTTTTAAATTTCTTGACTATTATATGAGATTGATATACGGACGGTTTGTAATTTCGTGGCAATCGGATAAATATCTGAAATTATCATAACGACGTTTAGACTGAAATTGAAAGACGAACGATGGAAACTGATAATATAGTGGCTGTGGAGAGAACAGATATTGAATTCTATATTTAGAAGTCTATTTACTTTTGACAATTCAGTCGCAAAAATGAGGAAAGAATACATTAGTAGTAATATTGGGAATTACATTAAAGGAAAAAAAAAAAAGAAAAAGGAAAAAGAACGCAGTGACAGGGGACAGTATATAAGTTACATTTGTAATGATACGTTTAAGTATTTATTCGTCTGTGTATTTATTATATGTTACGTATATATATAAATTGCTATTTCATTTTCGGTTTTTGAGCTAGAATCGTAATATTGCATTCCCAGGAAACACAAAGTATCATCAATGTTACAATGTCAGCTGAATCATATGGTATATTACGTAACTGTTACTTTTTTATATAATTAATTACATATTTTAGTTAATTATTATATTTAATTACTATATTCTAGTTAATTATATATTTTATAAAAAATATGTAATTATATGATACATATGTAATGATATGATACATATGTAATGATATAATATACCATATGATTTGTTATATAACAATTGTAACAGTTACATAATATACCATATGATTGAGCTGACATTGTAACAGTCGATGATACTTTGTGTTTCCTGGGTTAATTTCGTAATGCAGATCTTGTTATATGGAAAGTGATTTTAGAGCGCATATTTTAAATCGCAGATTTTATAATCGTAAAAAAATGCGCGTATAACGTTCCATCGCTTTTTTCTCCTGTATAACGGCCGTTGCGAGGCTAAAGTACAGAGGAAAACGAAAATGCTCACGCAGATGTCTCTGAGGAAAGCTGGAACGAATGTGCGCGCGTAAAATACCGCCGTATTACTTTTCATTGTTCTTCTGTATGTACGTAAAATCTTCGTTCGCTCTTGTAAGATCGTATTCTACGCTTCCGTTTGGTATTCTCGACGTGGGATCGTCAATGGAATAATTGGCAAGATAAAGGACAAGTTCAATCACGCAAAACTGACGCTCGTTCAAGCGATATTTAAGTGCGTGTTGTTATTTTGCATCGATGAAATATATGTGATACGGCACGTGTAGCGCGCATTGACCATCGACTATTGACGATTCGACTCTCTCGAATATCAGCTCTCATTTGTATATTAGTGTTATTATTTCTTATACCTGCGTATGACTGTATATCTTGTTTTATATTCTTTAAATTATTTAATCGAATAGTACGGTCAGTCAATCGACATTCAAGTCTAATTGCGTGCTTTTGTGGGGTAAAGGGCACAAATGTAAATGCATCCTGGTGATTTAGCACGACGCTATCTAATGAAATAGTTTCGCTGGGAAAGAAATACTGCAATAACGAGAATTCTTAATTCGTGCTGTAAATTAGTATAACTTGCACTGTACAAATTACTTTCGGATTTTAAATTGCGCTTATTACACGTTGTTTTGTTCAAATCGATATCTTTACAGTTTAGCTAGGAAGGGAGACGCATAGAGATGAATGCAATTACGGTGTACACACAATTCGTCACCAGTTTTTATATCGCTGCGATTCACGCTTCTTAGAGACCAAACGGATACGCGAGAAAATTCGATTTGACAAAAAGAAAATAACTCGGTTCGAGTCCATTTTGTGAAGTACTAGTCAATAAAGTTACATTGAATTGTTTTTGGCGTAAACGCTTGAACTCAACGAAACTTCAAGTTGTGCAATGGAAATAATGTTTGTACCGCATGTTGGTGGCATACAGAAAAAGTAAAAGAACAAAAAAAGAAAGGAAAAAGTCATACAGCCGTGAGCGATGCTAAAATGCAAAAGTGAAGGGAAAAAGCGATCGAGCACGAATTGTCACGGGATCGCGATCGCGTCTGCTATCCTATGGACTAACGAAGCGACGTTAATAGCCTCATGTAAATAATAATTCATTGATGCAGAAGGAAGCATCGGACGAGAGGGCCGAAATAGTTTCGCCGTGTGGATGGAGACTAAAAGTAGTACAGCATTAAACATTAAGCGGGATGAATAATGTGTACATGAACAATGTGATATAAGTAATAAATAAAAGATTAATTAATTATAGCACCGTAGCGCTTAAGGAAAAGAAAGAAATCAACTGTTAAACCGTTTACGGCGTAGATAGAAGCTGGTAAATATCATTTACTAATATCCTAAAGGACATCAAGAAATTTAATTGTACATAGCGAATATGAGAGAGAGAGGGGAGGAGAGAAAGAGAAAAAGAGAGAGAGAGAATAAGGATGAAGGCGAAGATGCGGGGTGAGAGAGAGGGAGAGAGCGAAAGAGAGATAAAAGGAGAGATAAATGAGATATATAAATATATTAAGTACGCGAAAGAGGGAGAAAGAAAGATGTGTGTGTGTGTGTGCGTGGTATGAATGCGTGTATAAATGAGCGAGCAAGCGAGCGAGTGAGTGAGTGAAAGAGAGACGAGATGCGAAAGACGACAAATTTACCACGATGCCGACATTATACATGTCCCCCAGATGTATAATAAAACCTGCAGACTGTACACGAGTGAATGATTAATGGAATAAGTGCGTGCAAGAGCGTGTTGTTGTTGTTGTAATCTATGTCAAATTTTGTTATACGCCTTGGTACGCAAGACGGTTATGTCCTATGGCACACTCCGATCAGTTTGTTGAGTATGAAAATGGGTTAGGCGACAGTTTCCCCAAAAGTGAAGGGGATAATGTTGGTACCAAGGAAAATCTCTACACGATATAATTTAAAGATTTGTTCTTTGTAACTGCACTGCTGAACTGGTGCAATAAATTGAAACGAGACAAGTATACGTTTTCTCACTCTAACCTTTTGCGTTCAGCAGTGTGCAGTTACAAACAACTGATCTTATTAAATTATATCGTGTAAAGATTTTCCTTGGTACCAACATTATCCCCTCCACTTTTCGGGAAACTGTCGTCTAACCTGAAAATGCAGCGGGGGCGGGGAAAGGGTGGGGTGGGACGGGATTCAGAGTTGATGATAATGACAGAGGTAATAGGAAGAGAAAGGCGGATGTTGAGAGAGCGCCGTTGAAGAAATTCGATTACTTTGCGCGCGCGAAAGTTGTTAAAAAAAAACAAAAGAAAAAAAAGAGTGCGATGAAACTCAATACAATCTATTACAATAAAGATTGAAATGTGAGTGTGACGGTTGCCCAAATCCTTCTTGTAATTGTCTAGTATCTGCGCCGGCTCCGGACTCTCGACTCGATATCCGAGTACAAGCTAGACCGTGCATCCACAAAATTCTGCGCCTCGCGTTTCTTTCGGAGTGGACGTTGGCGGAATACCAACGTGATTCGTCCGATCTAACGATTTGAAATATTCTCAACCGCAATAACTTGGATAACGCGTTTCTTATAGTACAATCAATTCGACTCTGATAAATGGATGGACAACTTGTTTCCGAAGCGTCTTAATATCTGTAATGCCAAGAATTTTCATATAATAGTCTATGTTCTCGATGATCCTTTCCCTAATATAAATAGCCGATTCACTTACTATTTATTGCGTTTTCCTGTCTGCTATGACACTAACTTGGCAATCGTATGAGTTGGTATCGAGTTATACTCTATTAGATTGAATATTTTTATAGTAAAATCATTCTTAATTAGATAAGTAAAATAATAAAGTGTCTAAATAATGCGTCTTTTAGTAATTAATAATTAGTAATTGATGTCTTAATATCCTTAATACCATGCTACTTATATTTGAGTGACGTGTGGGTTTTCGCGCGGGTACCCTCAATGTCATGTGTAGATGGTTGTTTTACCTAATTAAGAATGATTTTACTATAAAAATCTAATCAAATGTAATTCAATATCAACTCGGTTGCCAAGTGTGTTAAGTTTAGTAGTAAGTGTGTTAGTTATAGTACACGGAAAAACGCAATAAGCAGTAAACGAATCAGATAATTATATCGGAGAGAGGATCATCGAAAACATAAGATTATCATATGAAAATTCTCGGTTGTGATTGACCGATTTGCTTACATTTTTTTATGTACTATGATCTTTATGTGATTTGACTTTGCGTATGATCGCACAGTCTTAGAATAGATAGGTTCGAGGAAGAGCTGATCTATGAGATCCAACGTGGTAGTCAAAGTATGGAAAACTGGCATGATGTGAAGATGTCGAGACTTGCAACGCGTCAATCACTTAAAAATGTGGATTCAAGACGATACGGAAACAGATGCATTCCGCGGTTTGCGATGCGTGATATAAGACGCTGAGCGATCGGGCAAAGAGTAAGGAGCTTGGCGGGACCACTGTGCGCTTATACCATACATATAAGTAGCGATCAAAAACAGATTTCGAAAGAATGAGAGAGAAAGAGAGATTTGTAATCATAGCAATCTGTACCTTCTCAAGTCGTACGAAAGAAAGAGAGAGAGAATGAGTGAAAGAGAGAGAGAGAGAGAGAGAGAAGGCAGTCGCGTTAAAACTTGATGCGGAGAGCAGATCTTCCAGAACGACTGCGAACGACTGTGTTGTCCGCTCGCCAGCCGAGCAAGCGAATCGTCCTCGAAGGCAGATCGGGCCGAGTGCGAGAATCAAAATCGGATCTGCCTTTTTTTAGCGGCTAGTGCTTAGAGATTAAGCGTGTTTTCAGGTGCGAGGCAGGTGCGAACGCGCGATCACGGCGGTCCCGTCGATTCCCCGCGTAACTTGCAGAAGTCCGCAACGAGGAAGTCGTTCCGGCGAACAGTCTACTCGAAACTTTAAAGCACGACCTCTCAGGATTAGAAAAAAAATTTGAAATTCGTTCATTTTGTTGCAAAAAAAAAAAAAAGAAAAGACGCAATCGAATTCAAATCATTCTGCGTCCCCGGTTCTCTTACCTTCGTGATTCCGTTTTACAATCGGGTATATTTTGTTCGATGGCATCTCTTTAACGAAAACTGCATTTTTCAGAAACACTTGATCATTTCAAATTAAGTAAATCACGGCAACTGAACGTTTTTGTCAAGAGCATCACCGCGAATCGCACGGCCTGGTGTCGCGTTCGCGCGCATTGCAGCTGGAACTGCGAATTTCTAGAACTAAATCTACCGTTTAGCTCTTATCGAATTCGTATGTAAGGTCGACTCTTAAGATCTGTCTCGTCGTTGAGTTGGTGAAGATCGATCGGCGCGTTTTTCTCTTGTGGCTGACTTGCACACAAATAAATTGATGAATAGTTTGGCCGTTGCTTCTGTTGAAACCTCGCAAACCGACGCAGTTTGCGTTCTCCGGGCTTCGTCGGTCGCGTCTAACCACACAATCGCAGCGGCGACGTTTGATCCTACACGTAAGGGGGAAGTTGTCGCCGGGATATCTTATGGCGGTAAATGAAACGGTGAGAATGCGAGACGAAAACGTGTTAATTTTGCGATCCATTTATTAAAAATATGCACTAATTCACATTGTGTGTGTTTTCCATTACTTTCAGTTAGAATAGAGTATGACACAATAATATAATATTGTCCTCTATCTACGCATCGAGACGCCTCTAGCACGCAACTCTCAAAATATACATTATCTCGTGTTCATCGTTTACAAAAGACTATATTCATTCTCAGCAGACACTTCTCGGTAGAATTTTGAATTTCTAACTAGAACCATGGACTTTTCTCTCCTAAGACATCTTTTGTCCCGTCTTTCTTTTTTTTTTTTGGTTTTTTTTCCTTCGTTTTGGTCGGATGTTCGCAGATGTACCGCGAATCTTTTGCGGGAACCCGCAAATTGGATATCAACGATGGCACACCGCCACGCATTGGCGCGCGTCTCACGTGGTCTTTGGTTTTTCTTTTTTTTTTTTTCTTCACACGCGATTACAGAGAATCTTGTTAATTAATTGGAATTGCTCGCAATATAACACAAACGTGAGACACAATGTCGCACGCGACAACAAATTCACACAGAGTGCACGGGCTATATATTATATAGTGGTTTTACAATAACTCGAATCAAGGATCTTCGATGCCGTCGTCACGACGTGAGGTCGGTACTCGCGCACAAGACAGAAGAGATAAAAAGAGACCGACACGCAAAGCGAAGTGACAAGTAAAAGTGCGTAAGTATACACGTGGTACGTATATGTTGTCGTTACGTTTTTACAATTTCTCAAGTTTCAAGTCTTCGAATCTCTTTGGGTAAAATGAAGAACAACGCGCGCTCTCTGCTGACACGAGAGAAGACAGTTGCTGATTTATTTCTCCTTATTCGCGAAGATCCTTAATCGCGCGAGATGTGTTGTATATCGAAGACGGCAAACGGAGTTGCTCGTAAGCGGTAAGCACTTAACTAGGGCGCTCTCGAGGGAACGCCAAACGTCGAAACATACAGAATACCGATCCATTTCTCACCGACACATTGTACGAACGCAAAGATCAAGGCGAGCTCTTAATAATATATACGCTGGGTACGTACGGCGAGACGCATTTCGCGAGTAACGCTTTACGCGTAAATAGAGGATTTTGTCATAACAATCGATAGGACTAGCCGCGACTTTCGATCGGTTCGCACGACCGATGGTCGCTTTCGCGAAACGTGCCTTCTCTCGTAGAGATTCTTGCGGCTCAATCCAACTTGAAAGTCGAGATTCGTCACAGGTTATACATTAGTCATCAGTTGCACATACCGAGAATTTTCACATAATAAAATTTAATATATTATTTTCCTATAATGAATAAATTTTATATAATAATATAGAATCTTTTTTAATCGGTATATAAAATTGTTATTCCGGCGAACTTTAGTGCGTTCGAGTGGCGCATGTTAACACGCGCTTAGGGACATACAGTTCAACTCGCAAGTCAGCTTACTCGTGAAGAAATTTTCGCGCCTGAGGATAGAACATTGGCCGACAATGGGTTATTAACATTCTGCGCGCACGTTTGCTAGCTCCGCGTGTATTCGTTCGCGGTAAAGCTCGTTCGCCACGCGCACACGTAACGAATACAATTGCACTTAAAATAATTGACTAAAATCTCGCATCTAACGCTCTTTCTTATTGAAAAAATAATGGCAACAGAAGGCGCTTACAGAACGCACGCGCCCTCTTCGATATACGATATAATCGCGACGATTTGTTTTTTTCGAGTAAAAATGAAACAAGAGAAAATAGAGTATATATATATATATATATATATATATATATATATATATATATATATTATAAATACATATATATGTGTGTATATATATATATATTATAAATACATATATATGTGTATATATATATATATATATATATTATAAATATATATATATATATATATATATATATATTATAAATACATATATATGTATATATATATATATATATTATAAATATATATATATGTATATATATATATATATATATATATATATATATATATGTATATATTTCTCGCGGAAATGGTGGTACTAGCTAAAAACAGTATACTACAGAAAATCGAAACTCTCTCTTGTGTTTCGGGTAGAAAAGTGAATTGTCCCCGAACGTATACTCGTACTTGCAAGCGACGTGTTCGCTCTCAGAACGAGTTCGTTCAGTTTCGCATATGAAACATCGTGTCAAATGATTTTTCTCTCTCCGTCATACATTCGTGCGTGTGTGTATGTGTGTTAGTGCCGAAAATAAAAAAAAAGATACCGGTCTGAACGAACAGAGAGTATCGTTGGGTGAGTTCCGCGCGATAGCAAATAAAGCAGCTCAACGTGGTCCGATAGAAACTGCATATCAGTATTTCGCGAGTGCATCGCGCGAACGCAATTTGCTTAACTAGGCTTGAACGACAAACGACGATCCTTCTCTTACCTTAACAAGAACACCATTAATAATAATATAATATAATAATAATAATAGTACAATAATAATATAATAATAATAATAATAATACGCGAAACGTCCTGACGATGATTGTTATTATTTAAGCGTTATCTCGTTTCTGTGGAAAGTATCAGTAGAGAGGAGTATTAGTAGAGTATGATTCATCTCGATAAAGTATACGTAAAAAAGTTAGTAGTTAGCGTCGATATTAACGTTAGATCGCGAAGATCGATGAACGTCCATCTGAACATCGTATTATCTTTTTCTTCTACTTATTTTTCAGAGAGTCCCGCGCATTCGACAGAAACGAAGACACTACTTGGTTCACTGTCGTTCGGGGAAAGCAAAATTGGACGCCTCGCAAGGATTTGATCCTGGCACGACGATATCGATCGTGATCCACGATATAGATCTCAATACTAAGCCACGATTAAACGCGGCCTCGATTAAATCGGATTTGTCGAAAAAACTCGCAAACTTCATATATATTTATATTTATATATTATATTTATTCTAACTGCGTGTCGTGTTGTCCTGCTTTCTCGCATTGACTACTCATCGGAGGAGGATCCCGTTGGACCCCATAAAAAAAATAAATCGAACATCTCTCGATAATTCTCTCTTTTTTTTTTCATTTTTCGTCCTACACAGATCTCTTTTATCGTTATAATCTTAATTGGAGGCTCCGCACGAAAGCAACGTTGATTAAGGGCGGCGCGACGACTATTCTTTTATTAGTTTTATAGAAAATATCCGCGCTCTCTCTCTCTCGGTGGTGATACACCTAGAAATTTCACTCGATCACTAAGATGCCCTCTAAAGATCTCTTATCGGTCTATCACTACTATTCTGCGGACCTTTTGAAGTTTCCTTCTTTCTCCTTTGTACTGGTCTACTGCGCTAAGAATCTTTTTTTTTTCCGGTGGGGACAGGGAAGACTTTTGCTTTTTTTTCTGGCTGACGGTCTTGTGTCTGTCGGCTTCCCATCGCGCTATACATCACTGTATATATATATCCTCTCAATGGTAATGCTATTTAATCATCACAAACGAAACGGCGATGCTAATTGTCACCGCGAGTCATACCGCGGGTGATACGAATAAGAAGCAATAGATATATATATACGCACGCTCTGGAGCTCAGTTCTTGTACACTACGTAAACTAACATATATATAACATCATAAACTAAAACATACGATAAAAAAAGAAAGATAAAACTATAAAATCCGTAAATGCCATAAGAGGACGCATTTGAACTAACGGTCTCTCACGTAAAAAATATACATGTGTAAAAAAATAAATGGAGAGGTGATAGAGGAACGAGGTAATATGCGTGTATATATTAGATTCACAAATCGCACGTGTAGTAACCGATGGGTTACGCGATACAAATAATATCGAACTTTTATTCGGGATCACCCAGTTTCCATCCGTTTTTTCTCTACCCGGCGAGACGTATCGTATATACATATTGGCACTTGTCCAGCTTGGAATACCGTGTTTTCGTCTTTCTTCCTTTGTTTCTTTCCCTTGGTTTTCTTTCCCTTTCGCTTCAATGCCGTGTGGTTTCCGATGTGTGGTCAACCGAGAATTATATCGAGCGTTGATTTGTAATACGGTCACAAAGTACTCTCTTTAAATCGCGAGGTACGCCCGCGCGCGTGGCGCACGCTCTTTCCTTCTATTTCCACGGAGATAGAAACTTCTTGGCTATTATACATACGTGAACTACAAGTATGTACAGAGACTACGAGACGGCAGCTAGTGCACGTCCTGAACCGCGTTGAACTTCTACTTTTCCTCCTCCACGTCTGTTAAATTACTTAATTACATTGAACACAATGATCGAAACTCTTTAATCACATTGGTTATATTTAAATTTCGAATTTCGGTATTGATTATTAGCGGCTGTCCGTCCGTTCTCCATACCGGTGGAACACATAGGCTCGTTGCTGTGTGACAAATCGACAAACGATCGTTTCGTAGAATTTAGAAGGATCTCTCCGTCTTGCGATTCAATGATATCACTTGTATTCCGGACATAAATTGTACGTGAAACTTGAATAACGAAGAATTACGTGGAAGGAGCAGAAAGGATTTTCGTTTCGGCAGTGATTTGATAGGCTTGTTTCCCATTGGGCAGATATTCGGCACCACTCTTGTGCATTAGACGCTTTTAACGGAAGTTCGCGATCTCTTTTACAAAAAAAAAAACTTTCTTTCCCCTGTCGATATCGTAATGATGATGCTTCGTGTAGAATCTGTGGTGGCCGCGTATTTCTCTAATATGTAGATAGTATTTAGTATGTAATGTAGAAGAGATGAGTGATGTGTATTACTTGAAAGTAAGGGGCCTTGACTAATCGTTAACTTGTATTACACACACTACACGTAAAAATGATCAAATATCTTAAAACAAGTTTCATTTGAACCGCCTCATTATCGTTATGTCCATAAAAGTTATAACTCGTTGAATTTTGTGTATTTCAAATAGAGTATGCCTGACTTGTGCCTGAGTTGTGCCACGACCTCAAATCCTCGATAAGTATGGTGGCGGCTTGTAGCGGAGACTTTGGAGTCAAATGTTGAGCGAGTCTCGAGATCTAAGTTAATGATTAAAATGTCTCGAAAATTAAAACAAACTATGCGGATCGCTTAAACAATTTATTCGATGTCAAACACAATTATAAAAAAAAACAATTATTTTGAAAGTCTTTTTTATAAGAAACTGTTGATTATTTGCACGTCAATTCTTTTATTCAATATCACCCATCCCTGCTATGTAGTAAAAATATATATTTATGCGAATGGACGAATGGTGTTTATTGCGATTTTTTCTACTCCTTCCGATAAGACAACGAACGCGATATCTTGGCGATGTCTTTTGACTTCGAGGCAAGTACCGTGGTGTTATGCATCCCACCGATAATAGCTGTGTCAATGTAACGCACTCGTAATCGTTCCTACCTTAGGCATGACCATGGGCAGTGTCATTTTTTGTTGTGAATTTTCAGAACAATTGATCTAAAACGATAAAACACACCGAAACTGTTGTGGGGGTATCGTCGCGCTGAAATGCTTTTCGTATGACGTATTGCGACTCGAGCTCGCGCTAGTCGCCTGAATCTCAATGGCATCACACGTACGAAATGCAATGCTATTCGCGCGCTGTACGCGCCTCGTGTAAAGTAAGGAACGCTCGAGTGAAACGCATACAACACGAACGGACTAACGCGCGCGACAAAGAATGGCACACGTGTCCGTTGGCGCGCGGCGCTACTTCGGCTAGACTTGAGGTAGAGCAAAATTCGGGAAAGAGAAAAAAGCGGAGAGTGTCGTCGCTAGGTAATAGAGTAACAGAGAAACTTTTGGCAGTACAGATTTTGCCCCTTCCTCAAACCGGTCCCGCATTCGTTCGTCCGGTCGCAGTTGCTCTCAATTCACGCCGTGAAATCCAGAATTACTTTGCGCCTGGTATTTTTCCTAATACCTGAGAATCGAATAACAGCATTAAGAAACGGTGGTCCATAAGGCTTATTCGCGCTTACGTAAGCATCGTCTGGAGACGCGCGTTCCGCACTGCTTACTGAAGCCGAATCTTGCTAAGGGATAAAAAAAAGAGAAAAAAAAGATGGACTTACTTTGGAAACATCTACTCCAGTCAATGCGTGTACAGCTGGAGGTACTTGCCCTACGAGACGCGTGAGTTCCCCGGTGGTCGAGTCGCTTCCACCGAGAAGGACGATCTCTTCCGTTCTCGCTAACGGCGCCGCGACTTCGGCTGCGATCTATGAGAAGAAGATATCATGTCGTTATGCCGCGGAATGGCGCGCGCTATTTCAGCGCGAATGGATTGGAGGCGCGTCACTCACCTTCGGCAAGGCGTTCAAAGTGATGTTAAGTATCGCCGCGTCTCCGTACTTCTTGTAAACCGACGCTTTCATACGCATACGCTCGGCCTCCGATACACCCACAGCTTCCAGAGCGTGAGCCTCGGCCTCTCCGAGCAGTCGGATCTTCTCGGCTTCGGCTCTCGCCGCGCTCACCGTTTGAGTTCTAAAGCATACACGGCGCTTAGTGACGTCGCACACAGAAAAGTCCTAAGTAAAATTTGCAACGGCGTGACAGTGATGATGACTCACTCACCTCTTTCCTTCAGCTACTCTGCCCATCTTGTAGTACTCGGCCTCGGCCGGTAATCGCACCGTGCTCTGAAGCTCGTGCTCCTTTCGACGGACCTCCTGTTCCTCGACTTCGATTTGCTTACGCCTCTCTACAACCTCTATTTGTATTTCCTCATTCCGTATCCGTTGTTTTATCTTCGCCGCTTGAAGCTCGTAAGCCAATTGCGCCTCGGCTTTCTAGAAACGAATAAAGACAAAACATTGTTAAAGTTGAAGTATGTAGATATGTGAGGTGGTTCTCTGATGTTCTCAATCTCTCGTGAAAAAATGAAAAGCAAACATGAATGAAATCGTCGTTAATATGTAAATTTAATATAAATGATTAGACGAATCTAGGTCTCTCAAGAATCCTCTAAGCACGTACTTTTACATTTTCACAATCTCCGGTGAACTTTAACCAGTCGTATTTGTCGTTCATTAGAATTAATAAATAATTTAAATTATGAGAGGATAATAACGTCTGACAGTGTCAACGCACGCGCCGAATATTTTTCCTGTATTTTGAAACGGTAAATTAACTTTCAGGCCGCGCGCGATTCTTTAAATAATTATAATTCATTAGTCCCATTAGTTTCTAATCCTCAGCTACTTAATTGTGCACCTTGTTTTCGATTATTTCTATAATGTTAATATTTTCAAAGCCAGAAAAACATTCGACGCATGCGTTGACGCTGTCAGACATTATTATCCTCTCATAATTATATATTCGCATCAACAGCCACGACTGACTCTCATTTATCACTTTCTCTCACTTGATCTTTGATGGTTACAAATTCACAAATATGTCAAATGTAAGCAATATCTGCCTTGCGTCTATTAAATTTGTAACAAACGTTACAAATTGTCGAAAGATGGTCCAAAAATAGCATTGGAACATATAATAACATACTACTGTGCCCAAAAAGTAAGACCAATTAAAAATTTTTTTTTAAATCTTTATTTACTATTCCAATCTATTTCGTCGCCTTCAAAGTAATCCCCCTCAGACACAATACATTTATGCCAACATTTTTTCCAACCCTCGAAACAGTTGTTAAAGTCGATTTCCGGAATGGCCTTCAAAGCTTTCTTCGATTCAGCTTGTATCTTTTCAATCAAGTCAAAACGGTGTCCCCGGAGCGGTCTTTTGAGTTTAGAGAATAGCCAGAAGTCACACGGTGCTAAATCAGGTGAATATGGTGGTTGTGGAACGATATGGGTCGAATTTTTCGCGAAATGGTCTCGAAGAATCAATGCAGTGTGAGATGGTGGGTTTATATCTATCACTGTAGTGTGGGTTTATATGCATCATGTAATACGGTTTCCAACCGTAGAGTTGGAAAAAACGTTGGCATAAGTGTATTGTGTCTGAGGTGGATTACTTTGAAGGCGACGAAATAGATTTGGAATAATAAATAAAGATTTAAAAAAAAAATTTTAAATTGGCCTTACTTTTTGGACACAGTAATATTTTAAAGGATTTTTGAGACTTTGAGGAGATTCGTCTCTATTTGAAAAATTTACATTAAATATACACAGCATTTTAGCTCACACTTGCCTTCTGTTTTCCCTACAATTAAAGACTAACTTTGCCGGGAATGGTCACGTTGTAATTTCGTCGCGTTTATAAGAAACTGACATACCGCTGTGTTCACTTCTTGATCGAAGTTGGCCTTCTGCAGCTGATAGAGTCTCGCATTGTCTTCTATCTTGGTGTCGGTGTTGTATTTTATGTCCATCGCCGACTTCTCGCACTCGGCTTCCTGTCGAGTAGAAACGAAAATTATCAATTAGATTTTCCATTTTTCCTTCAGATGATTTTTATTTTATTTCTTCGTGCGAGCTTGCAAGTACTTTAGCGAAGTTGCGCGGATTATTTCATGTTCTTAAACAGAGACGTACCCTAATCCCGGCATCTCGATTCGCCTCGGCGACCCCCACGTCGGCGTCTCTTTTAACGGCGGCCGTCTGAGCTTTGCCGAGCGATGCTAGATATTGAACATCGTCGTACACGTCCTTTATCGTGAACGAGAGAATCTCAATGCCCATGCGACCGACATCTGGCGCGGCGACCTCCCGCACCAGGGCTGCGAATTGATCTCGATCCTTATAGACTTCCTCCACCGAGAGTGTTCCTGAAGAATACGTATTCTCCTAATAAATCCCCGAAACTTAAATTCTATTCCATTAAAATTAGCAGTAAGAATTGAAGAGGCAAATAAGGAGTACAGCACCGATGTCTTAGTGCTATTAAATACTAATATTACTTTTATATAATATTAATATAATAGTGGCAGGATAATTATGTCCAGCATGTCAAACGCGTATAATTATATAATAATAATATATATATATATATATATATATATATATATATATATATATAATTATATATTTTATTATTATATATTACATATTTATTATTATTATAATTATTATAATATATTATTATTTATTATTATATATTATTATTATTATATATTCGCCGCGTACGTTAATCGAAGAAAAATTTCGATACGTGCGTTTTAATAGCACTAAGATATCCGTGCTGTACTCCTTATTTGCCTCTTCAATTCTTACTGTTAGTTATTCTAAAAAGGAGCTTTCTATAATTTTCATTAAAATTAGGTCGGTTAGGTGACAATTTTCCGAGAAGTGGAGGGAATAATGTTGGTACCAAAGAAAAGCTCTACACGATATAATTTAATGATCTGTTCTTTGTAACTGTACTGAACTAATGCAAAAGGTTAGAGTGAGCAAACATATACTTCTACATCTCACTTCAATTTATCGCACCAGTTGTTCAGCAGTGCAGTTACAAAGAACAGGGCCCATATTCTTGAAATTTCTGCATATACGTGATTTTCATTGCGCAGCTATTTATGATTAAAACTATAATATGATTAAAACTGCGCAGTAAAATTTACGTATACGCAACTACTTCAAGAATAAGAGCCCTGTACTGGGATTCTGTAACTCGTTATTGGAGTTAACGACAGTTTCGTTATCATTGCGCAGCTTTTCAACGGTATACAAAAGCTGCGCAACGATAACGAAACTGTCGTTAACTCCAATAACGAGCTACAGAATAGGGCTACTGGCCTTTAAATTATATCGTGTAGAGATTTCCCTTGGTATCAACATTATCCCCTCCACTTTTCGAGAAATTTTCGCCTAACCAATTAAGTCATATCCTATTACCAAAGTCTCAAGGTCGTCCTGCCTTTTTCTCGCGTTCTCCAAACGGAAGACCGGCTGACTGTGACTTTAACGACGATCAGACGTACCTAGTATAGCTCGGAGGTGACCTTCCAAAGTGGACAGGATCGTGGATTTGATTTCGTGCACGCTTTTCCCGAGGAACTGTTCGCTGGCAGTATGCAACAACTCATCTGCCTTCATGATCTTGCATTGCGCCACCCCAGTAACCGTCAGCGGAACACCCTGCGCGGTCTCCACGCTCTCGCACACCGGATTCAGAGTCATCACCTCCAGCGAAAGCCGTTGCACGTCAGTGACGAACCACCAGGTAAACGCGTAACCGCCCACGATGGTCCTTTTCCTCATGGAGCCGCAGCATCCTCCTAAAATTGCAGACAAAAATGTTATCGTACGTTTTCTCGCCAGAAAGTCTTGTTTCAACATCAAGATTTACGCTGAAACCACGTCTAATTAATTCACGACCAATACGAGCGGGTGTGTTAAATTTAACGACACATCTCGCTAAAAAAATGCTACTTTACTTCATAATTTGCTTCAGATAATCAAGGATCTTTAAGGGGATGATAGAGTCAATGACGAACTCGAACAATGTCGATAATGCAGATATGATCGTCACTAACATAATCACGCTATCCTTTTCATATTTCTTGTACATATAGAACTTACATGAATGTTGCTTTGTTTTACGATACTCAACGGAAAACCTAATCATATATGTGTAGAAATCTTTCTGCAAACTTTTTCGATATTTTTAAGCTTCCAAATACAGATGCGAAGCAATGTTCTTCAAAATTTTTCTGTTTGGAGCATCCACACTTTCGGTGTGTACAAGCTGCGAAACTTTTGGATTAGGCAAATATTACGCTAACTGACAGCTTGAGATTTTACATTAAAAACTTTTTGTTCGTTTTCGATACATATCGAGCAATGCTCCTATTTATTTTTGCACGTACCTTCATTGCGTAAAAGCATTTGTAATTCTGTGTAACCAATACGACGTAAACTTTGCAGAAAAATGTCAGTATTCTGTCGGTAAAGTTTTTAGCTTCAGCATCCCCTTAAGAGCTTTTACACAATTTTATTGTAATACGTACAATTAACTGGCCAATCTGTTCCAATCAATTATTTCCTGATATTCCTTTATTTTACGTTGTAAATGTATTTACAAACATAATTTCTTAAATACATGTAACTACAATGTTATCAATCAATTTGTAATTCCGCGATCGTTAGATATGCGTTCATGTTGCAACGATAAGTAGGTCGTCCCGATGGGGCACACGGGTAACTCTTTACCGTAAGGCTACTGCGAGTGACGTCATGAGCTGCCCGCATCGCCGGTGAACGTGAGATGCGTCACGTAACGTACGATCGGTGATTAAAAAAAAACCGTCCGTCCTAATTTTTCCAGCCGCTATCACATTGTAACTAAGGGGATGAGATTTTTATCGCCTAGCGCTTGAAAAAAAATCGCGGACTCATTTCGCGCACTTGCACGAGGCTCACCGCCGAAAATCAAGAGAAACTGAGTATTTTCCTTCCTCTCCTCTGACAAAACAAGTTTTCCGATAATTGTAAAGCGTTTTCTGCCGCGAGCACTCGGACTTCCCTCGGATTATTCTTGCTGGTCGACAACTAGGTCTCCTCACTCTGATGCCGCGCACGTCACTTTCCAGCTGGAGACCGCGTTCCTCGAGGAAGACGGGCGGGGAATAACGGAGAACGGGACAAGGCGCGTGTTGGAGATGGGAGACCGGCTCGCCGGCCTGGACAAAGAGAAATACCCGAAGGAAGAAGAGAGAGGCGAGTCAATGACCGTTATGTGCCGCGATAGCAGGACTAAAGAGCACGGAAATCTATTCGTGTGTGCGGCTTATACGCTATTTCAATGAGACACCGGTCCTGTGGATGACAGTACGCAGGTAGTTAAGGTAGGAGCAAGGCCACGGTCAGTGTTACACTGTGTTACAAATAATATCATTCATTGCCGGCTCTTAGGTCTTGACTCGCGATTTCTTTGGGTTCCCCGACGATGACGCACGGTTTCGCGACGGAAAATATTGTTTGAGTGATCGTTTTTAGTCGCTAAGGTACTCAGCGACTTCAGGAAGCCGTTCAGAGTGCGAGAAATCTGTTTCGATGCTTCAGGGATTTTACAGTGCATCGAGAACGCGTAAGAGAAGAAAGTTAACAGAACTTGAGGAAGAGATAAATATGATTTTCAATAGATCTTCAAAATATATACACTTCCTGTTTAATTCAACCATTAATAGTGAATTAAAGATTACATCGAGAAAAGTGGATAATAAATTAAATTGATGAAGATAAATTATCTTTTGGATAATTCAAAACATTATATAGCATCAGGATACTTCGTGATGCGCTGGAAACTTTTAGAATGCACATTCCTCACCGTGTACCAGGAAATAGACGAACCAGCTTTCCTTTTCAAATCGTTTAGCTCGTGTTAGGTACTCGTTTATTTAACTCAAATTGATACGAGCAATGCTTCATAATTTTCTTCCATTCTTATTTGCAGAATTGATACAGTCTCTTCGCAATTTCTGACGATTATTTGTCTGGAGATTAGAAAATATTAAAAGTAAAGACATTTACCGGATTCGTTGCCGGTTTTTAGGTCTTGACTCGCGATTTCTTTGAGTTTCCCGGCAATGACGCACGGCGATGACAATGGAAATAATTACTTTTTCGAGTGATCGTTTTTAGTCGCTGAGGTACTCAGCGACTTCAGGAAGACGTTCAGAATGCGAGCAGTCTGCTTTGATGCTTCAGGACTTTTACATTGCATCGAGAACGCGTGAGTTATATTAATAAGTTTCTTAGTGTACACTATCCTAATTTCGGACAACCGAAATATTCGATACGTCTTGTTTGTATTAGTTTGTAATTTACCAATCTATCGCGCTGCTAAATTTTTACACTGAATTAATTGACACTCTTCTCCGCGACAAATTGAAGAGCTTTCGGGGAACATCGATCCGGCGCGCTGTGCGTGAGAGAAGTAAGTTAACAGAACTTGAGAGAGAGATAAAACGGTTTTCAATAGATTTTCAAGATATATACATCTCTTATTTAATTCAACCATTAATAGTGAATATGTAAAGAGAGGATTAAATATGTAAAGAGAGTGAACAAGATTGAAAAGGAAATGCTTTATATATTTACAATATTCCTCTAAGATTTCTATCTAAACCAGACTATTGTAGGAAATTGCAGTCGGACTATAATCGACAAGCAGCATTTAGGTTTGTTCATTTTCGAGGACCTCTACTGCAATAAATTAGAGTGAAACAAGTATACTTTTTTTTTCATTATTGCACTAGTGTGCAGTTACAATCGTATCAAAGTCTTTTTAACGCAGAAATGTTATTTCTTTCCCGCATTTTGACATGCTTTTATTTCGGTATTCATCGTCAGTACAAGGAAACGTACAAGTGAAATACGTTACGAACCGACCTCAACGTACAGTTCAAGCACGAGATATATCGTGAGCTGATGTACTAACAGCTGAAAGTTTCACGAGCAATTGATATTCTCTTCACATTAAAATTGCGCAAACCACGGATGCCACGTGGGTGTCTTCTTGGCGATTTCTATATAATGGCCAGCGGACTATCGAGTTAACTTTTGACAGTACAGTGCGCCGGATCGATGATTCCCCGGAAGCTTTTCAATTTGTCGCGGAGAAGAGTGTCAATTAATTCAGCGTAAAAATTTAGCAGCGCGATAGATTGGTAAATTACAAACTAATACAAACAAGACGTATCGAATATCTCAGTTGTCCGAAATCAGGATAGTGCATACTAAGAAACTTATTCGGTTGAATTAAACAATATTTCTTGTTTAAATCATTTTTTACTGAATTTGTTATTTTTGTGTATTTAATTGTAAATTTATTGTATATTTGTTTATTTGTTTAATTGTTTATTTAATTGTAAATTGTGTATTTAATTGAAAAAGTATATTACTAGAAAGAAGTGAAATGTTACACTAAGCAAAATTTTTGTTTGTATTTATTTGTTACAATGAAATTTGTTTGCTGCAAAGACAAACTCGTCTATCTCACCGCATTTCAAATAATTGTGCTTGAATTAAATACCGTTTAGTTGAAAATCGCAAGTTGTGAGTATTATTAAATTTTGCAATTGAGCTTATATGTTGCATCAACTAAAACATTTGTTTGCTCATATTCAAACAAGAGATTTAGTTGATTCAATTAAATATTGGTTCATTTGATCAAATAGGTTTTCCAGTGTGGCATATAATAAGATAATCGTTTCCAATTTGCACATGTGCTCTAGATTCTACGCCGAAGAGGAAGCTTGAGAACTTGAGAAAGTTAAAATGGGTATCGAGAGCGTTCTGGTAGGGGGTTTAACCTCGGCCTCCACCGGGCTCTCTTGGTTCTTCCCGGTTCTCGCCGCGGCACTCGTCTACTTCCACTACGAAGTTCTAGACAATGAAGCGCCGCCGATCAACGTGCCGTCGGAAGTGCTGTTACACTCGTACGATTTCATAGTAATAGGCGGAGGCTCGGCAGGTACGCCCGCATGAAACTTTCCCTATTGACGACACTTTGACACACACTTGTCTTCCTCTACTCAGGCGCCGTGGTAGCGAATCGTCTGTCCGAGATCGAGAACTGGAACGTGCTGTTGTTGGAAGCTGGCGGTGACGAGACGGAGATTTCCGATGTGCCTTTGCTCGCTGGCTACCTTCAGCTCAGCCAATTGGACTGGCAATACAAGACAGAGCCGCAGTCCGGTGCCTGCCTAGGTGTCTGTCACAGTGATTTTTTTACCTGACTTGCTATTACGTTAAATTATAAAATTTTATTATATTATAATTTATCATTATTTACAATTACGACAGTGTGATGCAGAGATTATGGGTGACGAACACGGAGAGCAAAGTAGTAGGTAATATTGTTATCATGAGTTTTATCCTTTTCAGCGATGATAAATAACCAGTGCAACTGGCCAAGGGGCAAAGTGATCGGAGGCTCGTCGGTCTTGAATTATATGCTTTACTTGCGTGGGAATAAACGAGATTACGATTTGTGGGAACAGCAGGGCAATCCCGGTTGGGGATCGCAGCAAGTCCTGCACTACTTCAAAAAGTCTGAAGACAACAAAAATCCATATCTGGTAGGCACGTCGTATCACGCAGAGGGCGGACACTTGACAGTGCAGGAGGCACCTTGGCATACACCTCTAGCGGCGGCTTTCGTCCAAGCCGGACAAGAGATGGGCTACGAGAATCGCGACATCAACGGCGAGTGTCAGACTGGCTTTATGATCGCACAGGGCACCATCAGGCGCGGCAGCCGTTGTTCAACCGCGAAGGCCTTTCTCAGGCCGGTACGGCTCAGGAAGAACCTGCACGTAGCGTTACAAGCGCACGCAACCAAGGTGTTGGTGCATCCCAAGTCCAAGCGCGTTTACGGCGTGGAGTTCGTCAGGGACGGCAAGATGTTTCGTATACGCGCAAATAAGGAAGTGATCATATCCGGCGGTACGATAAACTCGCCTCAGTTGTTGATGTTATCCGGAATCGGGCCGAAGAAGCATCTGCAAGAACTCGGGATCCCCGTGATCCAGGATTCTAATGTGAGCGTGCGAGTTTTAGGATTCTCATTCTCTCTAGTCAGTATCAATATCAACATATTTCCTTCAGCTTGCATAACCAAGAAGGGGATTTGATTTACAATTATATTCCTTAACCACACACATCGATCCATTCCTTATTTCTACCTATCTAGTATCTTTATAGTTACATTGCCTCTCTCTAATTGACTTTACAATATCGTTCTCGTTAAAAGATGTCCTTATAATGTCCTTTTACAACCTTCTTAATCTTAACCATTATTTTACTTATACCTTCTTTCCTATCTGTTATTTTTAATTAAACTTTTCTATTTCATTCAACAAGTACCATGTTGTCCTCATAACAACAACATTCCAACTCTGTTCTCTTCCCTTCAACTGCATACACTTATCTTTTTTTTCTTTTTTCTTCCTATTCAACTAAAGATAGAATTGTTCTCTTTACTTTCTCTTCATTCTCTTTTCCCGCAATTTTCATTCATATCTTATTAGTTTCACTACTTTACTCTATACTTCGTATTAACTTTATAAAGTGATTCATCTGCCTTTTTTTCACTTCTTACATATCTCCTTCAACTTACATCGCCAAGAAGGATATCTTTCTATATTTTTCCTCTTATTTTTTGTTCATTTGCACAGTAATTTTGTCTCACTAGTTTTTGTGTCATCTTTTTCCCGTATATCTTTATTCTATTTCCTTCTCTCATCCGATAACGAAATCTTTCTTCATTTCTTCTCCTCTTCTTCCTTCATTCTTTGTGTACTTCTGTCTTCTATTATCAGCTATTATACATTTCTATCCATAAGTTTCTCTGCATTGTCATACTAATGTAAGCTTGTTTGCATTACCTACACTACCTTTCTGCTTCTAGGTTGGTCATAATCTTCAAGATCACATAAGCTTAGGCGGACTCACGTTTATGGTGAATCAAGAGATCTCCATGGTGCAGAAGCGTCTGGAGAATCCTCAGACGGTGATACAGTACGCCGTTATGGGCGATGGGCCCCTGACGGTGTTGGGTGGCGTCGAGGGTCTCGCTTTCGTCAATACTAAATACGCGAACACGTCGCTGGACTTTCCTGATATCGAATTACACTTCATCTCCGGTTCGACCAATTCGGACGGTGGCACACAGCTGCGTAAGGTGCACGGACTCACGAAGCAGTTCTACGACAGTGTCTATGGACCGATCAACGACATGGATACGTGGAGCATACTTCCCATGCTGCTGCGGCCTAAAAGTCGCGGTGTCATCAAGCTGCGCAGCAAGAACCCGTTTGACCATCCTCTTATCTATCCAAACTACTTCAAGGAGCCCGAGGATATAGCCACGTTGGTCGAAGGGGTGAAGATCAGCGTGGCTTTGAGTAGAACAGCCGCCTTCCGACGATTCGGTAGTGAGCTGAACTCGAAACAGTTTCCAGGATGCAAGCATATTCTCATGTACACCGATGCTTACTGGGAATGTATGATCAGATATTACAGTGCCACGGTTTATCACCCCGTTGGGACGTGCAAAATGGGTCCTTACTGGGATCCCGATGCAGTGGTAGACCCGCAGCTCAGAGTGTATGGCGTGGCCGGGTTGCGCGTGATCGACGCCTCGATCATGCCGAATATCGTGAGCGGAAACACGAATGTGCCTACCATTATGATTGGTGAAAAAGGTGCCGACATGATAAAGGAGTATTGGTTGAAGCGGAAGCACGGGCCCGAATTTAGTGAACGATAATTAACAGCGCGTGATCAACTGCGATACACGAAAGACGACACGTGTAGAATAACCAGAGTGATAATGTTACCGATACGTTATGAAAGGACTTTGAACTTTGACTTTAAACCAGATGATCTCGCGAGCTTTTCAGATACAACCGGAAGTGTCAGAATGTACATATATATGTATAAGTTTTCGTACTTATAATGTGACACAATAAATTATTTACATTATATTTCGCGATAGATATTGATTAGAGATAGATATTGTTTTCTAAGAGATAATGGAATATAATAAGAAAAATGAGGATTTGGGCAAAAATAAAATTGCCGTTTAGAAACATATTTAAAAACCGAACAAAGAACTCAAAAAAATTAAATTTAAAAAATATATATAAAAGGGCTAATTTGAGTTCAAGCACAGATGTAATAGTGCTATTATATCATATAGATAAAGCCTTCTTTATGTTAGGAAATAGATTCATTCCACCCGCGTTTACAGTTTACAATCGAAATTGGAGGTGACAAATTTAATTTTTTAGACACGACTCTTTTAATACAGAATAACACTATTATTTTCGACTGGTATTATATACCTACGTTTTCTGATTGATACCTGAACTTTTTATCTTTCCACCCTTCTCAACACAAAATTGGGACTATTTATGCTTCAGTTGATAGGATGTTTTATCTTAGTCATCCTTCATTTCATAAGAAAAATCTGGATTTCATCATTTTGACGCTTATTAATAATAATTATCCAATTGACTTAATTTTTAAAATTATTAAACGTAGATTAAATACTCTGATTGTGAGACGTGAACTGGATGTTGAGAATGAAAAATCAAATTTGACTGTTTCTGCTATAAATAAGAAAAAATTCTTTATTATACCGTTTTTTGGTATGATTTCGCACAGCTGACAAAGATTTTCAAAAATGATAGTACTAGTATTGCTTATTCTTGCGCTAACAGATTATTGGGATTGATACAAGTGCATAAAGACGGGCTTCCTCTTGGTTACCATAATAACGTTGTTTATAAGTTGGAATGCGGTAATTGTGAGGCTACATATGTTGGACAAACCAGCAGAAGACTCTCCACACGTATTGCCGAGTATAGGAGAATCCCAAAGAATTTACTAAGGAAACTGACGGTTGTACAGGAATACCGAATCAAGGAGGATCACGATTTTGACTGGGAACATGTCAAGGTTTTGCATGAAAAACGTTTTTACTTGAAACGCCTGATTGCAGAGATGATTTACATTAAATTCCAAAGGCATGGATTGAATTCACAGAAGGACACAGAGTATCTGGGCGACAGCTACTGCGGCTTATTATGATAGTCTCTCGTTTTTGTTTTCCTTCTCTTCCACGCTGTTTACCGCTTCGATATCTTATGCTAATGTATATAAATTTGTTATTATTCGTATTGCTCTGACTTGGTGACATTCGCGTCGACAAGAACGTTTCACATTTCTATAGTAGCTTACTTTTATTTGAGGTAATTTATAATTTAAATATTTATTTTTATATATTGATATTACAATTCTTACTTATTTTTATTTTTTTGGGATTTTTTAATGTTTAAAGTTATGACAGACACATCATAATTTTTGGATCAAATTATCTACTGTAAAATTACTGTTTTCTTAACGTTTTTGTTGATTGTAATGTCAAGAAGAACATTGAGATCTGTTTGTTTCGCCCGAGTCACGATACCATCGTTTTGTAATACTTTCTGTACAATCCTTGAGTAATTTTATTTTATTGTAATTATCACTGAAAAGGGTTCACGATTGAGCCGAAACGTTTGATGATTTATGTTATATTCAATAAAGGATTTCTCTGTTTCCTAACATAAGGAAGGCTTTATCTATATTATATAATAGCACTGTTACGTCTGTGCTTAAACTCAAATTAGCCCTTTTATATATATTTTTTAAACAAAATTGCCGATTTTTACGATTTGTTTTATTGGAAGTCAGTTTTGTACGACTATTTGTTATTGCATCAATTTCAATTTCACTGAATATCAGCCGAAGCACGCGAGTTTAAGAAATCATATCTGCGTGAATTATACGTAAACAGTTGATTTTTTAATTAAACAACGTTAAATGGTGAAAAACCGGACGGTTCAACATGCATTCAAAGGATTTCTTTTTTTTTTTTTAATGGAAATAATAAGTTGACCGTTAACGTTAAATGCACGTATGAGCATTTCTGAAGAAATTAAAAATGCTGACACACGAACATGAAAACGCATAGCTTGGCCTGTTTTAATATTTCACGTGCGTTGCATCAATATATAAAAGGTGCGTGCAATGTGACAACAGTAGCAGTATGTGAAACCGTCGACTTGAAATGAACTTTCTGACAAAAAAGAAAGAGTTTCGTCTGAATGACGGTAACGTTCTTCGAGAGGAAATTCAGTTTAGTTAATCGTGCGATTTGAAAGTCGAGACGGCTAGAAGTCTCAAATTCGGCAATGGCTCGCCTGACTGTGGCACGTATGCTGTCCTCGTTCCGGACGGAGCGGCTCTTCGTCGCGACGTTATGGTACCTCATCGTCCATCTACGTCCGGACATCCTCGACGAGCAGAACCGTGTGCAATCGGTGCCGACGCGGGACTTGCTGACCGAATACGATTACGTGATAGTCGGCGGAGGATCGGCCGGGTCTGTGTTGGCTAGTCGCTTGTCGGAGGACCAAGATTCCACCGTGCTGTTGCTCGAAGCCGGCGTCGACGAAATAGTCTTGGTTGACATGCCGTTGACTATGCCGATTCTGCAGCGCACGTTTCTAGACTGGGCCTTCCAAGCGGAACCGTCGTCCAACTACTGCTTGGCGATGCGGAATCATCAGTGCAGATGTCCACGTGGCAAGGTACTTTAGGCGAGGGTTTGTATCTCGTTCGCTCGTACATCACTTTTCAGTCACACGTGTGTGACAAAATATCACAGATACGTCCAAGCTAAACCATAACGATCGATTCTCAAGGTGCTAGGTGGTACCAGCGTGCTAAACGCGATGCTTTACGTTCGCGGTAACAAAAGGGATTACGATTCCTGGGCAGCACTCGGTAACACCGGATGGGATTATGAGAGTGTTCTGCCGTATTTCAAGCTGTCCGAAGACGCCAGAGTTAAGGACCTCCATGACTCGCCGTACCATCAAAGGGGCGGATACTTGACGGTAGAACATTTCAAACATGTTCCACCGGTTATCGACTACATCGTTCGTTCCGGCAAGGAGTTGGGATACGAGATACGCGATATAAACGGGGAAAATCAAACTGGATTCACGTACTCCTATGGTACCATAAGGAACGGACTGCGATGTAGCACCGCCAAGGCTTTCATCCGACCTGCCTCGAAGAGGAAGAATCTACACGTCAGCTTGGAATCGTTGGTGGAAAAGATCCTCGTGAGAAATGGTTTGGATTCTATCATGCTTTTAGCTTCCTAGTTTAGGAAATGATTTGATATTAACTCTATCGAGAGAGAGAGAGAGATTGATTGATATTAATTCTAATTCTCTTATCCTGTCTATTTCATAGAAATGTTGATATTCGAGTGCGTGCGTGTGTGTACTAAAATATAAATATTTAATTTTTAACGAACAACGAGCGACGGCTAAAAACTTTTTATTGTGACTCAGGACGGTCAATTCTATAATATATATCAATATACAAGGTGTCTCACACTCTCCTCCGGGCATTTTGTGGGGACGTAGAATGGGTTGATGTGAACATAAAAGTCCTGTACCGTTTTGCGATATTCGCAATAATTATCGAGATATTAATTGTAGAAAATTTGTGAATGATCATGCAGGATATGGTAAATGAGTTATAGTAGCGACGACTGCCGTCGTGTACTTTTATTTTAGGTCAAATTGAACAAAAAAGTCCTCTACCATTTCGCAAATAATTTCATAGATTTTTAATTATTAATTAAAGAAAATGAGTGCATTATCACGCAAAATCGTGCAATAATCTTCTTTAATTAATAATTAAAAATCTATGTGATTATTTGGAAAATAGTAGAGGACTTTTTTGTTCAATTTGACCTAAAGTATACACGACAGCAGTCGTCGCTATTATAACTCATTTACCATATCCTGCATGATCATTCACAAATTTTCTACAATTAATATCTCGATAATTATTGCGAATATCGCAAAACGGTATAGGATTTTTACGTTCAACCTGTTCTACGTCCCCACAAAATGTCCGGAGGAGAGTGTGAGACACCCTGTATATCAATATCGTTGGAAGTTGGTCCCCTATTCGGCATTTTTATCAAAACAATTCTCTAATTAAAATAAGCTACTTCAAAGTATCTTTCTATTTATATTTGCAGATGGCATATCGAAAATAGCGTATGGGGTGCAATTTCGCAGAAGTATGAGACGTTTTGTAGTTCATGCGAGACGCGAGATTATTCTATCCGCGGGTGTGATACAATCGCCGCAGTTGCTGTTGCTGTCGGGCATCGGACCGCGGAATCATCTCGAAGAAATGAAGATCCCCGTCGTACATCACGCAGCTGGCGTAGGAAAGAATCTTCAAGATCACGTGGGGATCGAGTTACTTTACATGGTCGATCCTCCGCCCGATATCCCGGATCCGGATGACTTCACCTTGAGACTATATCGACTCGCGTCGACGGATACTCTGCAGCAAATGATAGAGAATAATTCCGGCCCGCTCTACATGGGTCTCATTGGCGCGGGAATGGCATTCATTAACACCAAGTAAGCGAGACTTTCCTAAATTCAAGTTTCGGCTTAACTATCTTTACATTAAGATCTTTGTATCAAGATCAGAAAGAATTTAATCGAGTCAGATCAGATCAACTATTGATTACATCAATCAATTGCGATGCAGATATGCGAACGAAACGTCCGATTTCCCAGACATTCAGCTACTCTTCTCAGGCGCCTCGGGTTTGTCAGACTCCGGAATTGGCGTCTTACGTGATGAAGACATCGAGCCGCGCATCATCACTGACTTCTACAACAATATGACAGACAACCAGACTTTCGAGTTTCACGTGATTCTCCTTAGACCACATAGCAGAGGACACATCAAGCTCAAATCTAATGATCCCGATAAGGCTCCCGAAATAGTTCTCAATTACTTCGACGATCCTCGCGATCTACAAGTTCTGGTATGCCACATTACACGTGCTCTCACACCACCAACGTGTGAAATCATACGCAAGGAAATAGGAACTAATGAATTACGTTGATTTTAGGTGGAGGGCGTGAGATTTGTGGAGAGAGTGAGTTGCACTCAAGTCATGCGGGAGATAAACGCGCGACCTAATCCTAACATGGTTCAAGGTTGCTCGCAGTACGACAGCTCCTCGGACGAATACTGGGCGTGCTATGCACGTCACTTGACAGCATCGATTTACCATCTGAGCGGCACTTGCAAGATGGGCCCGATTAGCGACAGTCAGGCCGTAGTCGATGCCAGATTAAGGGTGCACGGTGTCACGGGATTGCGAGTGGTCGACGCATCGATAATGCCGACTATCGTCTCTGGTAATACTAACGTACCGGTGATTATGATCGCAGAGAAGGCGTCGGATATGATAAAGAAGGATTGGTTGAATGTGGCTTGATCCTAGCGTCTTCGCTCGTCCCGGAATAAATATGCGCCTGGTATAAAATTCTAGCTTTGCCTTTACTAGATTTCGTATTTTCAGATGTGAAACACGCTTGTTATTATGCTTAATGAATACCGCTCTAGATTGATAATTCACTGATAATCTCCGACTTTTGACATACATTGATCGCTCGACCAAACGAATCTAAGATAAGTAACTGAATATGTTAATCGAGAATTGTGTTAGCAATTACATAATAAGGTAAATAATTGCATATGCTAATCGAGTATTAAGTATTATATAATAGTTACATAGTAATAACAGTTTTCTATGCAGCTTAAGTAAAATGCCTATTAACACAACTACTAACACATTAATAACGCAATAGCTGTGCAATTCATTTTCTCCACGTAAGATCAACGTAATTCATTAGTCTCTATTTATTTGCGTATAATTTTACGCATCTTGTGTATGATTTTGGTGGTGTGAAAGCTCGTGTGATGTGGCATACTAGAACTTGTAGATCGCGAGGATCGTCGAAGTAATTGGTGGCTATTTCGGGAGCCTTATCGGGATCGTTCGGGATTTGAGCTCGATGTGTCCTCTGCTATGTGATTTAAGAAGAATCACGTGAAACTCGAAAGTCTGCTTGTCTGTCATATTGGGCGCATTCAGTAGAAAAAGCGCTCAGTGAGCAATCAACGATTATTGGTTCTTGCTATTAGATCCCTAAATCTAGACCAATTACATTGACAAATTACTCAACTGTTGTGCAACTGTTGAGTCTACTGAATGCAGCCATTGTTGTAGAACTCAGTGATGATGCGTGGCTCGATGTCTTCGTCACGTAAGACGCCAATTCCGGAGTCTGACCCGAGGCGCCTGAGAAGAGTAGCTGAATGTTTGGGAAATCAGGCGTTTCGTTCGCGTATATGCATCGCAATTGATTGATGTGACTAGTAGTTGACATGCCATTAATATAATTATTAACACAACTCTCGATTAGCATATGCAATTATTCACGTTAAATTCGTTTAGCTGAACGATTGATGTATGTTAAAAATCGAAGGTTATTAGCGAGTTATCAATCTAAAGCAGTATCCATTAAGTATAATATATATGAATCGCAGAAAAGTCTTTTTCGTAGACACATATAATTATTATAATATCTAATACGCATTGACTTAGGAATGGAGTGAAAGTAGCCTCGAAAACTAATCTATGATTAGTGTTATATCCTGCGCGGACTTTGTGTAATTTTAACGCGTCCCAGCAGTCGTTCCGTAAAAAAGACCATAAAAACTATTTTAATTTTCCAAAAACTTACACATATACGACGGTCTTCTTTACTGATGTTGTTACAAAACAGTATGTTATTTATTTATATATATATATGTGTGTGTGTGTGTGTGTGTATTACTTATTATTTATCAATCTTCTTCAAGAAAAGCACATAAATATCTTTAGCACCTCTTGGCCATGGTCTTTTTTGAATTTGCGTATCATCAACTTCAATCTAAATATTAGAACTTTCCTCTCTATATATATTTGTATAATGATCATTATCGATACTTGATCCATATGAAATATAGCATTCATGACTTTATAAAACTGGCCAGCTATTAATACTTTAGTTGTTGGAACGGCGCATAAATTAATTGTATGTATTTTTACTAATTTACTATCCTATAATAGAAATAATATACGTATAACAATTATTTTTTGAGTCTAAATTCATTTTTAAGTAACATGTTATTTTCTGCACAATGTTCACATGTGATTAATTAAACGATTGCTACCAATATGTAACATTTATCAAATCTTGAAATTTGTAACTTCTCTCCTTAAAATTGTTAATAGGAATTGAAATAATTATATTATTATTTGTAGTATATTTTGTATTATCGCAAGATTTGCATCGACTTATAATATTTACCTTATAAATTATAATACCTCCAATAAATTTCTTATAATCATATTATGTACAAAGAACTAAGAAATAAGAAGAGCTAAGAGCTAAGAAGAGCTAAGAGTAAGAAATTCATATGCATCTCGTTTTTTATTATTGGAAAAATACTCTCGTAAATATTGCCGTATCGCATATATATTCAGTTTAGTGAGTCCATTTTCATATTGATGCGCTAATTTACTTAAAACATTTAGTTTTTCAGAAATAAATAATTGTTTTATGAATACTATATTTTTATTGTATTTACGTCTATACTATATGACTAAACTGTAATCCTAATATCTCGGACTAAAACTGAAATCCCACGATAAAGGAAAGATACATGTGACGAACAGGAATAGAAAATATTGATGAAACAATAGACTTTAAACATGTATTTCACCTTTCGAGATAGACAATATAATAAATAATTCTCTTAAATAATTTTCTTTCGAATTACGTCAGAACAATCACAAACGGGAAGAACTCTTTGTTAGATGTAATCTAAAATCTAAAATTTTCATTGAACCATCACTTTTGATCCAACGCCTTCGCTCTAGATAAAGAAATTCAGTTCTCTGACCTAAAGTAAGACCAACGGCGTACGTCGCGATTAGCGTAAAAAAACTTGTAATTTTTTACTTGTGCCACGTAGGTACATACGGATCTCGCAAGCGCGAGCGTGACAGTTGCGCTCACGAGCATATCTGTAATATCTTCAAAATCTCATGCGATAAATTACTAAAACAATATTTTTAAACCAGAGAGCTCGCACATTTAATCATTTAAAATCTAACTCAAGAATCTGAGCTCATAAAATGATAACCCATTGTTAAACACAATAAAAACAAAACTTTTATAATTTTACTAATATTCAATCTAAGATACCGCCAAACTTAGCACTAAGATATCTTTTTTTATTTTCCTCACTTCGCCCTCATTATTCCTAACAAATCCAATAATTGTTTATTGCCGAAAACTCCTAGTCTCCGGACCTATTCAGTTCCCCAGAAATTTTAAAAAGGCACTACTTCTTTTTCATCTTCCGGACGCTCAAGAACTATATTTAACTCCAGTTCATTTCTTTTCGATTTTGTCGCGTATTCTATATTAGTAAATTCATCATTTTTCGTGGCTCGATTATTACCTAGCAAATTCACTTAATACGCGAATTAAGCGAGTTTATAAAGCGAGAGAGGTTCAACATTCATCGCAGCCATTCCTAGCCGCACCAGCAATCTTTACTTACATAATTCGTTTACAGGGGCCAACACCAATAAGTATCTTTTACAATTATCAAACCAATTCATTCGTTTGTCTTTTTTCCCTTTGCTATGTATTCGCTATTTTAACAAGAAGGATCATTTAGTCTTGAGAAATATCACCAAAATAGCCCCTTCGTGTAACTTCTCTACAGCCTCGCATCCACACATATATACCCATGCATATACTCTTACATACGACAGAATGATAGTATATTTTTGTAAATTCTTATTATTTTTCTTTTTCTCTTGCGACATCATAACAGTAAACCTTTGTAAATTCTATTATTATTTTTCTTCTTTTCTTTTTCTCTTCAACTGACGTGATCTCATTCATCATTTTTTGTTTTAAATAAAAGAAATATATATATTATCTCGCAGAGTAAAACTTCATCAATCATTTTTCATTGAACCACCACTTTTGATCCAACGCCTTCGCTCTAGATAAATAAATTTAGTTCTCTGACCTAAAGTAAGACCAACGGCGTACGTCGCGATCAGCGTAAAAAAACTTGTAATTTTTTACTTGTGCCACGTAGGTACATACGGATCTCGCAAGCGCGAGCGTGACAGTTGCGCTCACGAGCATATCTGTAATATTAGATCAGGTTGACTTTCTAATGCATTAATCTTCTATAATTTTAATATATCAATTTAAGATCAGAATAAATTTGCCTATAATGACCAAGCTTGTAGAGAGAAAATCAGAGAAATATGTCAAGGGCTACTCAAAACTAAATGCAAGTTTAATTTAAAGAAAGATAAGAGCGAGTCTGAATTACTTGTACAATTATACAGGAGTTACGTAAGTAGAAAAAACGAAAGATATGAATAATATAAGTTAACAAGGTTATCTAATCTATCAAGGTTATCTTTAATTAAATATAATGGTAAAAATAGGACAGTCCGATAAGATAACAAACTATTCTTTTACGCATGCAAATAATAAATTTATAGATAAACGCCGAATGGTTGAAAGATCTCTTTGAACGGATATTAAAACGCGTAGTGCCCGAGAAACGGATTGTTTCGCCAATACCAATTTTTTACGCGCATTGCACATTGCAGCACATATACTATATGATCGTCCACATCGCGATCGTGTTTTCCGCATATACAGCCTCGTTCGTTCATCGATTATGTTTATCCATATAAAAGTAACAAGTTTAAGGTCAGAATAAATCTGCCTATCGGAATGACCAAGCTTGTAGGCAGAAAGTCCGAGAAATAGATGTGTCAAGGGCTATTCAAAACTAAATGCAAGTTTAATTTAAAGAAAGATAAACGCAAGCCTAAATTACTTGACAATGGAAGATAAGGGTCTATAATTCGTGACAGAGCATATGTGCTTAATTGTACGGCGAACTCTGGGATCTAGAGACATGGCTCGTCTAAGTGTAGAAGATATGTTATCCTCGTTCCAAACGGGACGGTTTTTTATCACGGTGTTATGGTACCTCATCGTCCACCTACGCCCGGACATCGTCGACGAGCAGAATCGCGTACAATCTGTGCCGGCGCAGGACTTGCTGTACGAATACGATTACGTGATAATCGGCGGAGGATCGGCCGGATCTGTGTTGGCTAATCGGCTGTCGGAGAACAAGAGTCGTACCGTGCTCCTACTGGAAGCCGGCCCTGACGAAGTGGTTATATCCGACGTGCCCTTGACTTATCCGCTCATACAGCGTTCATTCATGAATTGGGAGTACAAAACGGAACCGTCGTCCACTCACTGCTTGGCGATGAAGAATCACCAGTGTAGGATACCACAAGGCAAGGTACTTTGCGAAAAACACACGTCCCGCGAGGATCTAGTTTCGTCTACACCAGGGACCGTATTCTTGACGCGTATTCGAATTCAGAAGTACAGCTTTCTGATTCTCAAGCTAGACAATCTTATACCAGACACTCACATGAAAGAAACTGAACTTGGAGTAAAAAGGACGTACTTAGCGTTCGAATACGCGTCAAGAATATGATTGCAGAGCTCGCGTTGCACACTTCGATTGATTTTCGACTCGCTCTGCTTAGCACTGTTCTCCTTACCTCATCACCCTACGCGTAACCTGCGAGACTGAAGAGAATTCATGACTTGTGAACATACGTTTCTAGTTGTGGAAAGCTATAATTAAGGGGAACAGCGCTACACTGTTAAATCTGTAGTGTCAAATTATACTCAATTTGAGTTATTTTTAACCATTCCTATAAGTCTGCTCCTACTAAGTATGTCGTTAATTTAACTAATGTAATGGAGTTAAATAATTTAACTTAAAAAATGTATTAAATTTGACTAAAATTTAGTTTATTTTTTATTATGTGCACGTTAATGTAATCTTTGTTTTAGTAAAAAATGACTTAATATTGTTTTAAATATTAGGATTGATTAGATATGGTTGTTTTTGTTTTAAATATTAGGATTGATTAGATGTGGTTGTTTTTGTTTTAAATATTAGGATTGATTAGATGTGGTTGTTTTTGTTTTAAATATTAGGATTGATTAAATGTGGTTGTTTTTTTAAACACATGTTTTGTGTTAAAATAGTAAATTTTGACACACATGATAGTTAAAAATAACTAAATATTATTTAACTCAAGAAATTAGTTTAAATTTGTCCCTTCGATATTTAACAGTGTAGGCGAGTCAAAAATCAGTCGAAATATACCACGCATACCAAGCTCTGGATCACTATTCTGTACATATCTACCGATAATTGTCAGTTTGATATGCGAACGACGTTTGTTCATCAATAGCAATCATAAACGATTGACGACGTTATTTTTAACGGGACGTTTTGTACGTGACGATAACACATCGACAATACTTTTGCAAAAGACGATCCTGTAAGGTTATAAATCAATTAAGCAAGAAATTGTAAAAAAGAGATTTGTTTCAAATATTGGTGTAATTGTTGGATGTACTTTGATGTACTTAATTTTTTACCTTCTTTTACATTTTAATTCAATTTTTGTATAAAAATTGTTCATGGTTTATTATCTAAAATTGTTCATAATTGTTCATAATTACGACAGACGCTAATAGACGTCGAATTATAACGATTGACCTTCAAGGTGTTAGGTGGTTCCAGCGTGCTGAACGCGATGATGTACGTCCGCGGTAATAGAAGAGATTACGATTCCTGGGCGGCACTTGGTAATACCGGATGGGATTACCAGAGCGTTCTACCGTACTTCAAAGTGTCCGAAGACATTAGAAGCAAAGACCTCTTCGACTCGCCGTATCACCAAAAGGGTGGATACTTGACGGTGGAACATTTCAAGTATATTCCACCGATTATCAATCACCTCGTTAATTCTAGCGAAGAGCTGGGGTACAAAATACACGATTCAAACGGAGATAACCAGACCGGCTTCACGTATACTTACGGCACCCTGAGGGACGGTTTGCGATGCAGCACTGCCAAAGCTTTCCTCCGACCTGTCTCGAAGAGAAAGAATCTACACGTCAGTTTGGACTCGTTGGTGGAGAAGATCCTCGTGAAAAAGGGTTCGGAAAGTTCAAAGTCCTTCCTGCTTTCTGTATTCTAGAAAGTCACGGGCGATGAAGCGAGTCATGAATATTTAAGAATACTCTATTATAAGACCAGCTGCATTAGCGTTTAGTTCACTACTCTCATTTACAGACGGCGCAACAAAGGTGGCGCACGGAGTGCAGTTTCAGAGGGACGCTAAACGCTACGTGGTTCACGCGAAACGCGAAGTCATCCTCTCCGCGGGTGCGATACAATCGCCGAAATTATTGATGCTGTCGGGCATTGGGCCGAGAGATTATCTCGAGGAAATGAAGATACCTGTCGTACATCACGCACCCGGCGTGGGACAGAATCTTCAAGATCACGTGGGGACCGGAATAACCTACACGATCGATCCTCCGCCTGACACACCGGAACCCAGCGAATTCACCGTGCGACTATTCGAATCTGTCACGTTGGGCGCTCTTCAGGAAATGATAGTTAACAATTCCGGTCTGCTCTATACGACGAGCATAAGCTCGGCGCATGCGTTTATTAACACCAAGTGAGCGACACTCTTGAACATCTAGCCAACTTCTATACTAGTCAATCATCGATCCTCACACTGATCCTGACCACGCGACCAAATGAAGTCTAGCTAAGCAAGGAAATCGACATGAAAGTCAATTTGAATAATTATGCCGCAGGTACGCGAACAAAACGTCAGACTATCCGGACATCCAGTTGGTCTTTTCGGGTTCCTCGCACGCGTACGAGTCTGGTATCATCTTGTCACGTTCCGAGGACATTGAATTAAACGTCACTACGGAGCTGTATAAAAATATTCTGAATCATCACACCTTTGAGATTTATCCGATTCTTCTTCGACCACGTAGCAGAGGCCATATCGAGCTCAAGACGACCGATCCCGCTGAGAATCCTAAAATCTTTATCAATTACTTCAACGATCCTTACGATCTACAAGTTCTGGTACGCTACATCATATGTGCTTCCGTGTTGTTAACATATGTGGGGGAGAGAGGGAAGGGGGAAGGAATAGCCGAAAAACCTTATCAATTTCTTTATTATCGAATATGAATTTTTATCCTAACGATAAAGATAAGAAATAAATGAGCAATGAGAAATATAAACAAAAAATTTCAGACTATATCTTATTTTGTGCGTGCTGCAAACATTAAAAAGATCAGGTACGATTGATGAGGTACGATTAGAAGTACAACTCCTCCCTGCGCGTAAAAATTCACATACACTGAGAAAAAAATGTATGATATTTGGAACTATAATGGCATAGTAAAAAGATTATAGTTAGGAATATAATTTTTATAGTAAATGTTACTATAATATTTGTAATATTTACAATATAAGCATAGTATAACTAACCCGTGTAAAATTTTTACCAAGAATTATAATTATTTGAAATAAAAAATATAGTAAGGCAGCAAATATTGAGTGGTAAGAGAAATTAACTATTTTACATAGTCAATACAATTGGAATATTTGGCAAATATAGGTACATGTAACTATATTCCCAAAAAGTGCTTTACCATATATATAGAGTAATAAGATGGTGACTATAAATCTGTGTTCATTCTACTATATCTTCATATTTAGATGAACTATAAATATATGTTTGAGGCCAAAACGAACTATAAAATATAGCGAAATTATAGTTATTCCAACTATGTTTTTCTCTCAGTGTATGAAATTAGAGATTTAACAAATTACACTGATGTTTCAGGTGGAGGGTATGAAATTCGTGGAGAAGATGAGTCGTACTCATGCTTTAAGAAAGTTAAACGCGCAACCTAATCCAAACCTAATGCCAGGATGTTCGCGGTACAACGGCTCATCAGACGAGTACCGGGCTTGCTTCGCTCGTTACTTATCAGCGACGTTTTATCATCCGACAGGCACTTGCAAAATGGGCCCTATTAGCGACAATCAGGCCGTGGTCGATGCTAGATTAAGGGTGCACGGTATTGCGAGATTGCGAGTAGTCGACGCGTCGATAATGCCGCACATTGTCTCTGGTAATACTAACGCGCCGGTGATTATGATCGCAGAGAAGGCTGCTGATATGATAAAGGAAGACTCAGCGGCTTGATGCCAGCGACAATATGATAGATAAATGTACATCTCATTATCTAATCTTAATTTACGAGTAGTGAGCGTGCAAACTATACTTTCAATTTTATCATTGCTATATATTTCAATTGGCGGGAAAAAATTCACAGCTCGCTGCAATATCTTACGAAACACAGCCACGTGTAGAGTCATATAAAGTAAAAGTATCAATTCCCGTACCTAATCAAGGACATTCTTATTATTTTAATATTTAAATACAAATACTTAAACTTTTAACACAGAATGTACGTATATATTCAATAATTGTATATATATTTTATATGCGTTGGAAAAGTTTAAATATTTATATTTTAAAACCAAACATATAAGCACACACACACACACACACATGTCTAGGATTAGGTGCATGTATTGATACTTTTACCTTAATGTAACTGCAAAACATTTTGTTAAATCGACAAAGCCAATGTCTATCAATGTCTGCTCGAGATGGGACTTGAAGGATCGGAGGATTTATACGGAGGTTCGTGAGCTAATTTTGTAATGTGTGCTTGTAGTACCATTCTAAAATAAATGTGTATATTCTTATAAGAGAGCACACTTCTGACTGACACACCTAAGCTTATCAATTGTTGGGTCACTTGTATGAGATCGTTGTCAGTTCGAAAGTTAACGGTCCACAGCACCAGTTGTGAATTTTTGACAGTACTCGTCATCGTAATCAACTAATCCAAATATTTATAATAATTATCTCGCGTCGTTGCTTATGATAAATTGCACATCACGTATGCACATGATAAATTGTCACATATGCGTTGAACGTGTCGTTCGAGTGAGTTTGCAAATTTCGAATTAACTTGAGCAGATATTATTGTTTGTGTGAATGTCTTAGTGTTTGCGCTTGCGGCAAGTTCGCGCGAGATTTTTTAAATTTTCATTGAAAAATTAATGCTCCGACCATGAGACACTAAGATTACACTTATATGACGAGGTCATCGCTATCGAGAAACAACAGAATGTCATAAAATGTAAAACAGAGGACGCAATGTGGATTATATTTAAATCTACACGTTTTATTATATTTGTGTCTTTCTGTTTTATTATATCTGTTTTATTATATTTTATTTGTGTCTTAATAGCAGCACACACAATTTCAATGTTCTGCGAGGTATAATAACATAAGCGAAGTACATTTTAACGTCAATACGCGTTATCTTTATCCTTCGTTCTAGAAATTCGCAATGGCTCGGCCGCTGTTCATGTGAATACGAATTAATTGCGCACTTTTTCTTATTAATCAAACATTTCGATTCTGTTTTCTTTACTCAAGCATTACTTCACTCGTACCCTATCGATCTTTCTGTCTGAAAGCTTGTTGATACATCATTGATCAATGATGTAATGACGTACACCATCCATCTCGTTCGCAGCTCATAACATAATTACGTTTAATCCGTGTACACAAGTGCGAACGTCCTCCAGGTGAGGCTTCTTTTTTCCACCACGTTTGGGGATGTCTCTTCATATATTCAAAATGTAAATCGCTGTAGAGTTCATTTTCTAACATGAACTGGTATAAATTGTACGCACGCCGACGATGACGATAATCTAAAGTCAGTGGGTCCTCGCGACACCGACACCGGAGGCATTGTAACGTTCGGTAAGACATTTAAAAAGATATGCAGAGTAACGTGCGACAACACAAACCAAAGGTACCGTCCAGTATCTGGTCTAAACACCTTGCTTAAATCGCTTAAATCGCCTCGCTGTCAAACGTTGCACAATACGGGTTGAGAGATACGAAGTATTCGGGTAAAAATGTATGGAGCAGTAGCTGAGTTGTTGCCTGTTTTTATCGATTTATTTGTGGCGGGTTTCTCTCTTTCATACACACACAAGGTCTGTTCGAGTTGCTTGTACTATTCACACTTTTACACCTAATGCCCGTTGCACACTAGTGTACCTTAAACAACAAATTTTCAAGGCTGCCGGCATGATAAAGAAAGACTCACCAGCTTAATACCAGCAACGATATGACAGATAAATGTCGTACATTTCGTTATCTAATCTTAATTTACGAGTAGTGAGCGTGCAAACTATTTTTCAATTTTATCATTGCTATATATTTCAATTGGCGGGAAAAAATTCACAGCTCGCTGCAATATTTTACGAAACACAGCCACGTGTAGTCATATAAGGTAAAAGTATCAATTCCCGTATCTAATCAGGAACATTCTTATTTTAATATTTAAGTACGAATACTTAAACTTTTAACATAGGATGTACGTATATATTCAATATTTGTATATATATTTTGTGTGTTGGAAAAGTTTAAATATTTATATTTTAAAACAAAACATGTAAGCGCATATCCAGGATTAGGTGCATGTCCGGGTATTGATACTTTTACCTTAATGTAACTGCAAAAAATGTTGTTAAATCGACAAAGCCAATGTCTATTGATATCTGCTCGAGACGGGACTTGAAGGATCGAAGGATTTATACGGAGATTTGTAAGCTAATTTGGTAATGTGTGCCTGTAGTACCATTCTGAAATACAACAAACAAATTTTCCAAAATACGTTCTGAAGACGCTTTTAGGACGCAGGGACGTCATCAGAATATTTTTAGGACATACTTTGAAAGTGTGAGCTGTCTGAAAATATCCAATAAGTTTATTCGCATTGATTGAACTTTTTACACTTTCACACTTAGTGCACAGTAATTCTTTAGAGGTTCTAAAAATGACGTCACGATTTCCGTTGGTGTTACGAGTTAAATGCAATTCTGATACACTTTTTACACTTGGTCCCGAGCAAGAGTGAAAAGTGTATCAGAATTGCATTTACACTAACGTAACACGAGCGGAAAACATGACGTAATTTTCAGAACCTCTAAAGATTTAATGTGCACTAAGTGTGAAAGTGTAAAAAGTTCAATTAATGCGAATAAACTTACTGGATATTAGCTATTTTCAGAGAGCTCACACCTTCAAAGGACGTCCTAAAAATATTCTGATGACGTCCCTCCGTCCTAAAAGCGTCTTCAGAACGTATTTTGGAAAATTTGTGTTGTCTGGGGTGCACCAGTGTGCAACGGGCATTAGGTGTAAAAGTGTGAATAGTACAAGCAACTCGGACAAACCTACAGATACATATAGATATGCACACCTGTAAGAGTCGCACGAGCTATATACCTGCGTAATTCGATTCAGCAATTCAGCATATTTGTGATGGACGTCCAATGAATTGCAGTACGTTTAGTCGCGCGCTCGTGACGTAACGGTATCGGTTATGATATATATCGGGCCTCTCGGTGAAAACTCAACATCTCCTCTAGCATTTCGGAGCCTTGTAAATTGGCTCGCGGCCGTAACCCCTCGTTTACGCAACAAACGACGCTAGTTTCTTTGCTGGGAACGGTCGCTCGGGTTTCCTCGATTCACCGTAGCGGCCTATAATTCAATGAGTTACGTTGTTGACCGCGACGGAGCGAGGGGTTGTGCGAGGAAAAAAGTCCTTAACTCCCCTTCGACAAATCGCGGCTTGACTCTCCGACGCGCGTTATGCAACTTGTCATTCCTTCCCCACTTTTCTTTTCTTTCATTTTTCGCCGTGGAAGCTCCGCAAATCGTCGTATGTAACAGTTAGGGACGCACGGTTCCTCCTTCGCTCGCCTAAAAGTTGGTCACTTCGTGGCAAACGTCTTCCTCGACGTTAAGCCATGCAGTGTGAATCCTGCTCGGAGCGGAGCGGTGACGTCACACCACGTGTGTCTTCTCCGTCGACGAATGCGTTCCTGGCCACACGCGATGAGCTTCTCGATTAGTGCATCTAGTGTGCGTGGCCGTGGTTATCCAGCACGTTGCCCCTTCGCCGAACAGTCCGATGGAGATCGACCGATCGCTTATCCCGGGCGATCTCGATTGATCGTTTAAAAAGTAACCTGTGCTCCTGATAATCGATCGGACGAATTAATTGGTGCCTGTGCATTCTACACCATCGTACAGATGTTCCGTCGGCCGCCGAGAAATTATGAGGCATTATTAGATTTAACGTCGTACTTTTATCCGGATTTCAGGTAATTTCCAAGAGAACGATCAATATCAAATATTTCTTTGAGGTATCTTTGAGGTTAGAGAAGAAATTCTCTATACATATGTAATCCATGTAAAATGTCACGAGCTCTTTTCACGTGCGAGCAACGATCGTTAATGATAACATTTTTTTTTCTGGTATCTCCCAATATTCGTTGCGGGTCTTATTGTCGAATGAAAGGGACATCATGCATACCTCCGAGAACACGATCTTAGAAGAATTTAGACACACTCTCTCTCTCTCTCTCTCTCAGAATGATTGTAGTGTTCCGAGTGACGCGGAGAGTAGCATCATCCTTTTTTTTGTACGATACCTACACCTGCCAATGAATACTTTAACGAAATTTCACTTGCTCCGGACGGAGAAATTTCTGCCGGGCCTTTCGCGCGCGTGTGATACATTCGCCGTGCCGTATCGGACACTTCGTGCTCTTCGATCGCTGCGAAAAATTTATCACGGACAAGCAATAACGCACTTTCACGCGGAACGCTCGGAACCAAACTCAGTGCACTCTTTCAGATCATCGGGCGGTCCAAAGCACTCTTCAGTAAATAAGTAGTGTCAAAATATCTATATTATTATTTAACGTGTCGCATTTAATACATCGCGTTTAAGTCATAAGGAAAGAAAACAGACAGATCAGTCGAACAGAGCCGATAGCTATTAATTACGTGAAGTTACAAATTATCTCCAAGATTTTGTGTCACATGGCAAGGTAAAGTCTCTCGAAACGATGCCACGGGGTTGACAATATAAGTACGGGATCGTTAATTTTATTGCCAAACGTACTCATTACAATGTCGGTGTATGTCATTGTTTTTAATGATATTCTCGTACAAGTCACAATTTGACGTTTCGCTCCTTTCGCCCGAGTGTTTAACTGATATGTGTCGAAACTCTGTCACAATCATCCTCAAGCGATTACGTACCCCTTTATTAATGAACAAGACACAAGGTCTCTGTATTTTATAAACGGTTTCATTATCTACGATAATGATCAAACGCTGATTTATGTTCAGCATCTAATAAGCATCTGTAAGAGATGCTAATAAATCATGATTACACGATACGATTTGTTACTCATCATTATCATCTTTCTCGTAGTATATTCATCGATATCAAGTCTTCTTTTTTACCAGAAACATGATTTTCGTATCCTTTCTTATCCACAGATGATATTAGCCTCTAAATTGCAGACATGTGTTGGTACGTCCTTCTGTTAGCCTTGGCGCAACACGCCGTTGCGAATTCGCTCAAAGCAGACCAGGTAAATACGAAACCACATCGTCTTGCGACATGGAAGAATCCGAACTCATGAGAATTTAACGTCGACCAGCTCCGTTTCTCTTTCCAAAATATGTCAGCCAAGCCAGTTTTCCCGTAATCCATATAACAAAGCTTTCATTCGAAGCATCTATTTATAGCTGTCGTTATTCCAGACGTCTCAAGAAGCCAGTGCCTACGCGGAGCTCGGATGTTGCTCCTGCGAGTTCGAAGACACGCGGTATATGGAGCGTGTCTGCGAGGGAACAACTCCTTTCATGACGCTGATCCAAAATGTCATGTCTTCCAGATGCGACATCGCCGATCCCTGTCGACGAATGGGCAGCGATGAAGTACCGAGCGAGAACGAATGGTAAGAGACTCGTCATATTTTAAATTCCTTCTTTTTTGTATTATTGAACATTGCCTAAGGCTGGTAAGAGTTCTGTTATACGGGATGTAATTCTCTGGTATTTGCATTTTAGTCAATAAACGGTGGGAAATCGAGAAAATAATCGAGGAAATAAAATCATAGGGTATCATTTTCTTTCGGATAAGAATTATCTCTGTCACACTAAAGAAAATATTTTGTTGGTCCAGATAGAATTCCAAACGTCACAGTTGAAACTTATCGCTTTTTTGTTATATTTTTTATTTGCTAAAAGATTTTCTGTGATGCGTAGAATTAACAGCAGCAGCAATCTGGCAATATCTGATAGCAAATTTAGGTGGGTGTGAGGATTATACATTCGTTTGTCTCTAGTCGCTAGCCTTATCTGTCGGCTACAGTCAATTTTTATAAGAAGTGTGATTAATCTTAATCTAGGCGGGCGCCATAGAGAGACATTCTTGCTAAATCCCCCAAATAATTCAGATAGGAATTTTGTCTCTGTCATGTATATTAATTAAATGCAAGACGACGTCGCAGTGTTTGCTGGTCATTTATGTATCTTAACTAATTTCTCGTATCTCAACAATTCTCGCTATGACTGCAAGACCATTTCTTTGAGTGTATACCGTTTGTGTCTAGGTTCGACTTTGTGGTCGTGGGTGCCGGTGTGGCAGGATCAATAATCGCGAAGAGACTGAGCGATAATTCATGGCGAAAGGTTCTACTTATCGAGGCCGGCCCGGAAGAGCCCACGATGACAGCTATACCGGGATTCGCGTTCAACGCTGTCAACACGTCTCTCGACTGGAATTTCAAAACGGAACCAACATCACCGCATCCTACCGCCTGTTTGGGTATAGAATATCCTGTATTGATCGATATTCAGCAGAATATACCGCGCGCATCGTGATGTTAACACTCGAGATGAAAAGATCATAACTACAATCATCATGACATCGTGTGAAAATTATTTTTGCTTACGATTCCTGCCTCAAGGATGGAACGTTTCAACAAATTGATATCGCGATTTCTCTTTCCAGAGACGGACGGCGTATGCACTTGGCCGAGAGGCAAGATGATCGCCGGAACCGGCGGTTTTCACGGGATGATGTACTTCCGAGGTCATCCTGAGATCTACAATCATTGGTGGAGAATAGGAAATCCTGGCTGGTCCTACGACGAGATCATTCACTACTTCGAACGGATGGAGAATCCCATCGACCCGATGATCCTGTCAGATAAGCACAGAAGCGTAAAGGAACGCGGTCCGATGAGCATTCAGTATTACCCGCACAAGCCGAAGTTCGCGGACGAGTTGCTGAACGCCGCCGGTGAACTTGGCTATAAGACTTCGGTGCTCAAAGAATACAGTCAGACCGGCTTCATGATCGCGCCGATGACGATCGAGAACGGCATGCGCAGCACGACCTCGAGGGCATACTTGAGGTCCGCTCACAGTCGCAGGAACTTGCGGGTGCTGACGAATGCGCAGGTAACCAAGATCCATATCAGCCAGTGGGAGAAGAAAGCCCGCGGTGTGGAGCTGGTGGATAAGAACGGCCGTAAGAGGATGATCAAGTGTGATAAAGAGGTGATTTTGACAGCCGGCGCCATCGGCTCGCCGCACATCCTCTTGAACTCCGGCATAGGCCCCGAGAAGGATCTCACCAGGCTCGGCATCAGAGTGTACCAAGACCTGCCGGTCGGTAAGAACCTGCACAATCATGTGTCGGTGGCGGTACCCATGAGCATCAACGACGTCCCGTACGAGACCATAACGATGGAGGCGGTGAACGAGTACTTGGAAAAAAAGACGGGCCCGTTGGCCAGCACCGGCATCACTCAGGTCACCGCCTTCCTCGAGAGCAGCTACGCGACTAACGGCGTGCCGGACATTCAGGTCTTCTTCGACGGCTTCAGCTCCACCTGTCCGAAGACCGGTCTGCCCAATGAGTGTCTCAATGGCAAAACCACCAACTGTCCGACCAGAAGGAGTATCGTGGCGAGACCCACGGTGGTCTACGCGGAGAGTCGAGGCGACATGAAACTCCGCTCGTCCGATCCCATGGACCCGCCGCTCATCTATCCGGATTACTTTACGAACGAGAAGGACCTGACTGTCCTGCTCGAAGGTATCAAAAAGGTCACGAAGCTTGTCGACACGCCCACGATGAAGAAGTGGAACCTTCGTTTAGAACAATTGAGAAGTCCGTTGTGCAAGGAGTGAGTGCTGAAACGTTGGATTTGATATTTTCGAGTCGAAAATTCGACTTGCGAATGTTTGTCTCGATGTTTGTTAGATATGGTTATAAATAATTTCAAGTTTCTACACTCGGTATTTGTAGCTAGAGTTGAACAAACACATAACACACCTATGTGTGTTTCTATGTAAAAAAATTAGATAAATATTAGATTTCTCGATAAAATTAGATAGTTCTCGATTAAGTTAAGTTCAGCGATTAATTTCTTATCAGCCTTAGATCAACTTTTCCGTATTTTTCATTTATCAGCTATCACTTCGGCACCGACGCCTTCTGGATGTGCCAAATACGGGCAGAGACCGGGCCGGAAAATCACCAATCTGGAACGTGCAAAATGGGACCCAGTACTGACCCACTCGCGGTAGTGGACTCGGAACTTCGAGTGCACGGTATATCGAACATTCGCGTCGCCGACGCTTCGATCTTCCCCATCGTGCCAAACTCGAATCCGATCGCAGCTATCATGATGGTGGCCGAGAAGGCAGCCGATATGATTAACAACAGCTGGCCGACATAATCTTGAATGTACACGAATTCTGATATATCACACACAAGTTGTAATATATATTTTTTACGGTTGACAAATAAAAGAAATTTCTTTAAATTAAACGAGTAGTTTGGACTCTCAACTTTGTCGGTATGAGACAGTGACAAGGTATTTTTTTTCCATGAAAATTTAGGTGAATTTTTTTAAATAGAAAATTACCGCGGCGAATATACATGTCATGTAAAGATCACGAACGAATATCAAGTATATGTAAATATATTACTTGAATGTCTGTCGTAACGGAAAATTTTTATCTTTGTCCCTCTCTCCCATCGTTCCTTCTCCCTCTCTCCCATCGTTCTTTCTTCCTCTCTCAGGAATAAATCTAATAGAACGTAATGAGCATCTAATTCAATTCGTTTTACTAAAATCGAATTTAAGATTGTTGCGTCCTTTCTTTCTCGTCGATTAAAATAAACTTCGAGACATTATTTCCGGGAAATAAAAAAGAGCAGCAAGTATGTATGTGTGTGAAACAGAATGTAGTCACAGAAATTAACTATATTCATTTGGATTTCTTTAACTATAAGTATGCGTTTGTCAGTCATATAATAAATAAGAATATTGTCTGCAGTAAATGTAATAGCGAACACGCTAAAAGTTCAATTATTGGTTGTCAATGACGCGTCATCTATAAGTGTTATGAACGAAGTGAATCTGCAGTATCGATGATGATGTCATGAACAAATAATTGATGCAAAATTATAAAAATACTTTTTTTAGTTAAATGCCTACAATATAACAATAAATTTATATTATTTAATTATTTATATATAACAATGGATTTATATTATTTATATTATATTTATTACTTAAAAACTAATAAAATTATGACAATCACATTTTATTAACATATTTTATTGAAATCGTGTGTTTATATTTGGATCATTATTTCCAATAAATTTTGAGAAAGTTACTGTCTCAGCATAAATGTTATATATTTTATTCTTGTAAATTTATGTTGATAACAATAATACCTATATATATTTTTGTGATATTTGCATACTTTAGTCTATCATGTTAGATCTATCATTTTCAATTTGGTTATTTACAAATCATATTTACAATTAACGTCTTTAAAAAAACTCGTATAAATTGAAAGATTATAAAAGAAGAAAATAATTGTTTATTCTTTCTTATGTTCATTCTGTCTTTCGCTATATTAGATCGGCCTCATTTTGAATTGATCATTTTAACAGCAGTTTCTTGTTTAACGGAAACCTTTTCAGCGTGAAAACCTTTTGTACATATATATTTATCACAATTAACTTACTGATTAATGCTGGGCATTTGTGCATTGCTGATAGCGAAAGGTCAATTAAAAGGTCTGCTTATAAAAATTTCAGAATCTTAACGTTTACTTACTATGATTAAAACATTTCAAGGACAAAGGGGGCAAGGGAGAAGGAGACGTAAATTCTCCACCACATCTCCCCCCAAACCCCCCAACCCACCGGGTGAGGAGAAGGAGAGGGATCCTCCCCCCCGTTAAAAGATCCTAATCCGAGGCCTTGGACCCTTCCGCGAACCCTGCTTCAAAGAGACAGAGGCTCCCGCGGAAGACCAAGGTCAAGGGGAGTGATTAAGTCGTTACATAAATGCGTGTGACGATCCGTAAGAGCTATCGTCACGAAGAATAAAGTTTACGCCGAACATCCGCGACATCAACAAACAGCTTCACTGTTTGCTAAAATTAGTATAAAAGCCGACGCGAGATCGAGATCGAGAGAGATCCGTCGGAAAGCTCCTCTGAGGCGTTCAACCGACCAGAGCTCGCAACTTCCTAGAGATCCTAGACCGTTCCGTCGACCGAAGTGGATACGCGACTTCGACATCCTCTACCCGGATCGTGCCGACATCGCATAACGCATCTCGCATATACGAATAGCGAGACACACCGCGACAACAATTCTTCCGAAATCGGCTCGGTTAAAAGCCGATATCAACAAGCAGTTTAAATCCCACTGAGTATACATACTCACAACGCAAGCAATAGAAAATCGCGAAACGACCGAAGGTCGCGTCCCGCACGCGAGTCTAGACGCTCGCAGTTGACACCGCGATGTCTATTTAGACTCCAGTGGGAGCAAAAACGCGACCACACGCCAGCGGCGTACCTTCATATGTATATAATTGTAAATAACCACGATATTAGAATATAATTACTCACTTATTGCTATCTACACCACTGCTTCTAATTTATTGAGCTAAACCTTGAATCGCACCGACTAAGACTATCCCGCACGTAACGCAAGAGCGTTATATGCGTTATATAAGTGAATAACAAGATGAACATGTTTATTTATAGATGAGTAGATACATACCTATGTAAACCAGTAATATGTAATATGTAGATAAATCTTTAGAAGGTTAAGGTATGTATTTCGTAGATGTACAATGCAGAATTCTCTCTCAGTATCTGTTTAACCACTGTGTGTAACCGATCGTAAGTTTATAGTGCAACCGGAAAATTTATTTATCAATATATTTCTCTAAATTTAGAGTAATGGATTAGTTCGCACAGTTACAATAATAATAATAATAATTTTAATATATTATATCCAGTAAGCACTAAATATTAGTAACATAACATACAACAGTTACATAACATATTATAGAATTAAGCTGACATTGTAACATCGATATTATGTTACTAACTTTATCTTACTTGATCCATTACTAGGAATTAACTTGGAATAAGATTGGTTGTGCAGTTATATTTAAAACAGGAGCGATTAAAATTCTTAATAACACAGGCCTACAAATTTCAGACCCAAGAAGCAGAATACATTCAGATTTTGAAGGTTTCTAACGTGCTGAAATGTCATCCAAATTTTTCAATTACGTCATAATTTGGACATGTTCTAATCTAAAAGTGTTAAAATGGCTATTTTTTGGTGTTTTTAAATATATGTAACTCTGAAATGATAAATTATATGTTAATTTAAGCAACGAATTCGAATTCTGCATGAAAAAATCTATAAAAGATGATAGTTTAATAAGTAAAAATGATAGAATCAGTATCAACGTCACCATTTATAAGGATCATTTATATTCCTTAACATTAAACCATCAAAAAACTAATGCTTTTAAATTTTTTACATAAATTAGTATAAAAAAGCTTTCAGTTTTTAACTTCAAGTCTACTGTCTAAATAGTAAAATTCAAAATGATAGATAAAAATAGCCGATCAAAGGATGCATGCAAGCTTGAAAATATACAACTTAAATTATTTACACGTAAAGGATTTTGAATTTTACTATTTGAGCAATAAACTTGAAGTGCGTTTTAATATAACTTACTTTCAGAGTTATATATATTTAAAAACGTTAAAAAATAGCCACTTTAATACTTTTATGTTAGGACATCTTCGAATTTTGACGTGATGGAAAAATTTGGATAACAGATTCGGTTTCAGCACGTCAAAAACCTTCGGAATCACATACTCTGCTTCTTGGATCTGAGAAAAACTATTTTTTTGCAGACCTGTGTAATTTGCGATAGTAAAATTCAAATTTTATTTGTTAGTATTTCTGAGTTAGAGTTCGAAAGTATCCCCTGTTTGAGATATTCTGTTTTTTACGATCATTACTAAACTTATTTTCTTGCAAATATTGATCGAAATTGGTTGGTTTGCGTAGTAGATTTGAATTCTTACATACATGGCCATGACAGTTAACAATTATGTGAAAATGAACACAATCGAAGAAAACCTGGATAAGTCTTACATGTTTCTTTTTGTTATCTTAAGCAAACCTTTAAGCAAATAATATAAAAAGGAGCTAGTGGAAAGCTAATTAAGCTTTCATTGAAATACTCACGTTTGTTATTTCTACGTTTTGTCTCTTATCTTATATCAGCATTTTTTAATTAAATGTTCACTGAATATATGGCACTGTCTTAATAATATTTTGCAAAGTCATAAACTGCAATGTATACTGGATAATTCTAAAATAAATGGCTAAATTTGCAAGGAGATTCCATTCAGCAGTGAAATAATTTTCTCTAATAAGCAGAGAGAGAGAGAGAGAGAGAGAGAGAATGCGCTGCTAATAAACTATCTATTTCAAAAATATAAAAATAATATCGCCATGTTAATTCTAAAAATATGTAGGTACGTGTGCAGTATATTACGATAAAAAGTGTTACTCATTCGATTTTATCTTATTTTTTATCGTACTTCTACTACTAATATATACATGAAAAATTATGTCACTGCAAAATTATCATGTTAAATTATCATGTTAAAAACACATACATATTACATTTGCTAGTAAAAGTTAAGAACAAAGAAGGATTCCATATATTTAAAATCCCACATATTTAAAATTTGTAAACATATTTCCAATAGTTTTTCACTACTGAAAACAAACAACATGCTTATAAGTCATATGTTCCTGAATCTCGAGCGACTCGTAGGATGTACGTGGGGCGATGAAGTAAGAGGAAGCGTTAAATGGAGCAAAACGAAAATTGGTCGAAATGTAATATGTATACCGGGTTCTATATTATACTATCTTATCGAATTCTTATCATTTCAACGTACATAGCAACGTACTTTTATAAAGTCATTCTCACGATACACGATAATGAAAAGTTGTAAACTAATCAAAACCGAAACATTAAAACAGTGCTCGGAATTATTTAAAAAAATTATTTAAAATATATTTATATTTGTATAATATATATTTTTTATACATCGAGTTGTTTCGACAAATTTTTTTTCAGCCGTTAAAGTGCATTCGAGGAGCGCGCTAACACGATATTTTATTTTTATCGCTCATTAGATATACAAGAAGGATTAAGTGACGCGTTAGGATTGATCAGCGCTCTCCCTGAACGCACCTTTACGTAGACACCTGTAAATGCGCCTCACAATGTCAGCGAAGACATGTTGTGTGGCGACCGTCAGTTGCATGGCACACGTGATAAGAGGGAGTAGTAGGGATAACTCCTGAAAATCGCCTTGAATATAAAAATAATTCCGAACACTGATTTAAACAAGAGAGTCGTCCAGTCGTCAGTTATTTCATCGTCTTCAAAAAGCACACGTCGACAAATTTGTTCAACGACAGAACTTGAGAAATTTAACAAGTTAACGCTTAGGAATTTTAGATCGGTGTTCCCGATGTTTACTACGCATGTGATCGAAAAAGTGATCCTTAAAAAAAAGTTTGAATAAATCGTAAGTAATTTAAAAAAAATGTTGCAAAATAGAATAATTTGCAAGTCTAAGAAAATATACGAGTAAAATATAAAATTGTAGAATTGTTATATTTGTATATATTATACAAATATAAATATATTTTAAATAATTTTTTAAATAATTCCGAGCACTGTTTTAATGTTTAAGATTCAGTTTGGATTAGTTTACAACTTTCCATTATCGTGCATCGTGAGGATGACTTTATAAAAGTACGTTGCAATGCAGTGACAAGTCATAGTAATAAGATAGTAGTGAATTCGATAAGATAGTATAATGTAGATATAGATATTACATATTACATATTATATTTCGACCAATTTTCGTTTTGCTCCACTTAACACTTCCTCTTACTTCATCGCCGCGCGTGCATCCTACGAGTCGCTCTATTACGTTGTCTTCTTGACAATTTATGAAACGACTTTCGCGAGGTGGATAATTTAAAATTAACTTCCATAGTTACATTATGTTATCCTTTAGCGGCAACGAGTGCGTAAAATGTCATATCTTCGCAGAAGATTACAAACTCAGTAATTACAAATCACTCTTCGGATATTCGTCGTACTACTGTAACGGTTGAACTCGGAATGACCGGGAACGCTCAAGTGTTGTACATCGAGTCGCTCGAAATTCAGGAACGTATGAGTTATAAGCATGTTTTCAATAGTTAAAAGCTATTGGGAATATATGTTTACAAACTTTAAATATGTGGAATCCTTCTTTGCTTTTACTAACAAATGTATTTAGTTTAAGATGTTAATTTTGCAGTGATATAATTTTTCATGTACAGAGTGCGGCGCCAAAATTCGGACAAATTATACATTTTTTCTAAACATATTTTTTATTGCAAAAACGAAAAGGTTTACAAAATTTTTTTAACCACATTGTTTGTAAGGCCATAAAAAACATATTTACTCAATATATCCCCCGCTTGCTTGAATGACCGCCTCCATTCTCGATCTGAAGCGTGTGCAGGCGCGCTTTACCAGGTATGTAAATATGAAACCGGAATTTTTGTATAGAAAATACACGTTTATTGTATGAAAATGATAAAAAATATTTTATTCGAAGTATTGCCTATCGCTAGCTATACATTTTCCCCACCTGTCTGACAATTTGTGGATGCCACGCCAAAAAAACTGTTGCTCTTTTGAAGCAAACCAGTCATCGAGCCATTTTCGTACATTTTCGTAAGAAGTGAAGCGCTGCTTAGCAAGTGCGTGTCCCATCGATGCAAATAAATAGTAATTGGACGGAGCCAAGTCTGGTGAATAAGCCGCATGCGAAAGTAT